CCTATGGTTTTGAAGAAAAATCATTAAAACTATATTTGCAGTTAGTGCTTTACTTTGCAATTCCTGAATTTGTGTTTTGGTCAGGTTTTGTTGTCGTTGTTGTTCAAGTATTAATGGCATTTAATTCCTTTGGGTTTTAAAAGTCTAATGTTTTTATTCATTATAATTGGGTAGAAATAGAAGGTCTTCTATGTCATGTTAAAATTATCAGACCACATGCCTTGCTGACACAGTAATTTCATAAGAGGAATTATCTGTATGGCTATTTAAATGGAATACTAAGTATCTCTTATGACATACTTTAAGAATGGGACCACCTCTTTTTTTTGAGTAGGATATACAACAAAACTTAAAATGAGGTCTAGGTAGTACAGTTGATTGGAACTTCTGAGGTATCACTGACATGCTTTGTAACAAATTTTGCTACTTATTTGAATAACTGTGTGGTTTATGCCACTCAGTCACTAAACATTACAGCAAAAAAGTAATTATTCAGACAATTAGATGTGTTGCTGAAGTCCAATATACATCAGTCTTGGATATGGAAAATATGTCCAATCCCTCAAAAAAGAAAAAAAAAATCTTCAAACCTGTCTGTTATCACAGATTAGGATAATCACAGTAAATGGACCTATTGCTTATATTAAAAATGGATGTCATTTGAGATCTGCGGTAGGAACATAGTTCTGTACACTGCCAAACCATACAGGTGCCTATATGAGTGAGGACGTGAAAGTAGTGATGACCATAGAGGTCACTGCATGTTTTAGTTGTCGTAGTTACTTTTCAGATTCTTATGCCAAGTATATAACAGTTTTGATAAACTTTCAAAGCTAAACTACCAGGTCATGACAGATTAATTTTTGCCCCAGTATTTCAACAGATTTTTCAACAGTTTTGCCTGTTTGAGAGTTGTGAGTTGCTACTGAGGAATATGAAAACCTGCCATTTTTACACATAAGCAATTTCAAAAGAGTGAAGCCATTATCCTAAAAAAGAAATTCATGCCTAGGACTGAGACCAAAATGTATGTCACTCAAGGTATACCATATGTACCTGCCAAACACCACTTCTGATTGAAGATGAACTATGTTTGTCTTCCAGAGCTGTATGCTTGAATCTAACCACAATATCAAAATCAGTGTGGCACTTAATTGCACTCTTGTGTCTTGAATTCTTTTGGCACATTCTGACTAACAGGTCTGTTTTATGGACAAATAAGAACTTTATGAAGTACTGTAATTTCAGCTCAGATGCAGATAATGTAGGCTTATTTTCTTTTGGTGTAAACACTGAAACTCAAGCTAACCATCACAGAAAACAGGTTTCTAACACAATCAGAATTTTAATTCATGTGTCTGGCACTAGTAACAAATGTCCTGCTGGTGAATTTTGTTTTTTGCATCTCTAGCTACGTTTTGTTAAAATAAAAATACATGGAGAAAGGGGGGGGGGGGGGGGGGGAGGAGATAGGCCATTACCAACTTTGGGGGGAAAAGGAAGTAAATCCATAAGCAGTTGGTAGGTTTTCTTTTTTATTTTATTTTGTGTGTCTGTGTATATTAGATATATATATAAATACACACACACACACATTTTTGTTTTGTTTTGAGGAGTAAAGTAGAGTGTTTAAGGAAGTTCAAAATGGATAATGGGAAAGTGTCATTTGGTCTGATATTGTAATTGCTAAAGAATAAGACCAAAGAGAGTTTCTTGCAAATTACTTGGTATATGTTTAGAGTATCTAACTATTAAGAACTACTGTGACATTTCATGTACTTCTATTATTTAAAGAAACTTGTCAGTGGCTCTTTCAATACTTGTTTATTAGTACCAACTTAAAAATCTTTAGAAATTGTGTTGGTAACATAATAAAGCAATAAAAATTCTGGGTAAATAGTCTTGAAGATTCAGAATCTACTATGCCAAAAATTATGGCACATATTTGATTGTGACAGTGGATATGTTAGTGTACTGAGGAAAAATTGTTAACAATGCCTCTAATTTTATTAATTTGCTCTTATTCACCTCTGCACTGATACTGATCCAAAACCCTATTTTAAGTACATGTGGAAAGTTATTGATATCAATGACTCTACAACTGCTTAATGTTAGGCACGTGCAAAGTTTCTGTTGGTCAGTGTGTGAACAGAGTCTTCATCCTCTTTTTGGCATTCTGCACATGGGCTTTCATGGACTTGGTGCACAAGGGCAAATTTCCATAAGTAGTTGTACTGATTAGAACTGAATTACTTGCATGTCTAAAGCAAGTGTAACTTAGCCACAAAGTTATTAATTGTTATGGGGAATGGACAGAAAGAGGCAAGGGATTTCAATGGGGATTAAAAGATGACGATTAAGTTGATGAAAAAAAAAATTATATATATATATATTTTTTTTTTTATACCTACTTGGAGAAAACTGTCCACTAAAAATAACAGACCACAGTGACTAACACCACATTAAATATTTTTGCTTACATTTCTCAGTTAATTAATGAAGACACCTTTTTTTGATAGAAAACTAGGTTCTCTCAACCTTTCTCAATCAAAACCTATTCTAGATGTAGTTTTATCTGTTGGATATTAATTTTATTTATCTGTTTAAAAAAACAGCAACACGTTTAAAAAAAAACAACAACAAAACTTCTGTGTTCAAAGATCACATCAAGATAACAAGAAATAGATTTATTATTTATGCTATTAATATTGAAATAGTTTTCTTGAGGTGCAATATTTATTTTTTTGTTTTAATAAGACACATTGTATTGTTTCTCCTGCACAGCACAGATGTTTCTAGTAAGCAGAATTTTAAAAGAACACTATTTTTGTGTATCATATTTATATTTGTAGCATTGTAAGATTTTGCACCAGTGTGCTGGTATTGTACTGTATAGTATCACATACTTGAGGTTTTTAAATAAAAGTATGGTTTCAAAGTCCTCAGTGTTGCTACCTTAAAGATTTATTTTTCGTATGAGCTCTGTCTGCATATTAATGGCTATCTTTTTCTGAAATGCCAACTGCATAATGTAGTGTCATGTTACACATACCAAAGATCTTGTTCTTCTTAGTCTTTCAGTTCTTCAGAAAAATGATGTAGAAGAATCAAGCAAACTCCATTTTGAGTGTTTGTAAGCAGGGTCATCCTTGTCATATCCTAAAAATAAATGAGAGGAAACTGAAATACCCTGGAGAGAGTTTAACTCCTGCTTCAGAGAGAGGCTGCAGGTTGCTGAGGAGATGGAAGACTGAAAGGTAAAGGAGACTGGGAGGTTAGGATTCTCTGAGTGGTGTTCTTGTTGGCTTGGGAGCTCTGGGAACCCTGGGATTTGTGGAGAGCTGAACTGCCAGATCAGCAGGAAAGAGTCTGCTCTATTTCTGTGAAGAACATACTTGTGACAGCTGAATCTCTGGTGGTCTTTTTCAGGGAGACAAACTTTGGGACAATGACAATCTGGAAAGGAATGGCTGTTACCAGGAAAAAAGACCCTCTTATTTGTATTTTTCACATAAACATATTTTTCTTCTTAACTTCTTTCTATTTCAATTGTTGATGCTTCAGGATTCCTTTCGAAAGGATTATAGAGAACAGTCTGTTCTCCTCAGCATAAAAGTCTTCTGTTTAGCAATCCTCATCAACTTTTTGAAGCACATAGGTATGAGATGATGGGATTTTCTTTATAGCTTACCATAAATATTTTGGCCAAATGCTTATTAAACACATTGAACAGAAAGCTGTTGTTGTTTTTCACCACAGAAGTTAAGATGAAGACCCATAAACAATTTAGAAACCTTTTGTTAGCTATGCAGTCCAGATGAGTGACTTCCTCATAGTTTTGCAACAGCTGACAAGTAAAAAGGAAGAAACTGACCAAAAAAAAAAAAAAAAAGTTATTAAGGCTCATTTCATCATTCTATTTTTTTTCTCTCCTAATCTGTATTTTGCTCTAACAAAACCATGTAGAAGGAGCTTGTATTTTTGTTAAGTGTTACCAAGGTGTTCATCTCTTATTTTTCAGCTAAAAATTGCATTAAACATCAAGAATGTTGACAGAGTTTGACTAAAGGAGCTTTGCTGCAATGAGAACAATTGGCATAAAGTGGTAAATCATGACAGGACAATTAGTATGCAACTTTAAAATGTCTTTCTTGAGAAATCCAGCTTTGGAAATAATTTTTCAGGGTAGTGAATATTTAGCAGTTCAAGGTAAGCATGGAGATGGTCAGGTGTTTTACCATTCTCAGTGTTTTGCTGTCACAGACCACTAATCTATGAGCGCAGCAGAATAACTAGTAATTTCTCCTACATAATGGATTGAAGTGAATTCATTTAGAACTTGCTTGACAGTCTGATTACAGTATTGCAGATTGTCATGATTCTGTAGAAGCATGTAAGTATAGCACAACAGAGGCAAAATAGAAATTAGAGTAAGAAATTTGTCTCAGATCTCAAGGAGCTTTGCCAACATTCAGTTCCAAACCACAGCCCAAACACAACTAGATCTTAAATTTCTTTGCTGGTAATAGATACATCATTTTGTTAACCACATTATCTGTGGTTTCAATCAGTCTATTAACATAACTGTTTATTGGAACTTCACAGGAAGACAGATGTGATAGGGACAGTGGGGGGAGCCAGTCCCCTAGAGTCTCACAAGGATTCCCATTTATGGTAGCACATGTCCAAATCTCTTCAAAACCAAGTATCAAATTACCTCTGCATTATGGTACCTATTTCTGCATCGCAACTCTCAGGCAAAGGAAAGTAAAAGCACTACATCAAGGTGTAGAGGACAGTGAGGAATGGATACTCTTCTAACTCCAAAAGAAAAATGCTCATTTTTGTTCTCTTTGCTGTGATGCAATACATAATTATGTTTATTTACCAGCTAAATAGTGTGAGTAATGTGTTGTTAATCAGTAAAACAGGAAAAAATAATGAAAGTTTTCAGAGTGTTTACTGACTTTGCAGTCTACCAGTCTTATCTCCCTTCCTCAGCTGTGTTTTCTGCGTCAGCAGTAGTTAATTTTTCCAGCAAATGCTGAAAGAGTTAAAGGTGATTAGGGATTTCCACTCAGTGACCTCACCTTTGTGTGGGATAGTCAACGCATTTGCTCTGACATCCTTTCTATGAAGCAGTGCAGTGACAGCTGGAAGTTGCTTTCAAGAAGTCATCTCAAAGGCAGTTCCCAAGGTGGTCTGACAGTATCCAACACCTGAACTTTTCTCAGCACAGAAGACAAATCACCTTGAATTTCTCAATTTTCCAAGTTCGTGACAATGACAACTTATTTTGGAGTTACCTCAGCGGTGTTTTCAGTCTGGGTTATGACATTCATGGCTCAAAATTACTTCATAACAGGTATGTAAGGTTCCACTTCTTAAAATATCCTAGTTGAACAGTAAAGTGCTCAAAAAAAGCAGCTATATTCCCAAACAAAATGGGGGAAAGTGTCTGTTTGTAGATAGGCCTGCTAGCATAGGAAACCACAAGATTTTCATAATATAGCTTTCCATAATATGCAATGAAAAATACTCTAACATATAGGGGAAATCTTTCACTCTCTAATGATTTGATAAGCTCAAGTGCTATGTAAATGCTATAGAACTGCTTGTTCTAGAGTTTTGGTTGTGCATTTAGGATTAAGTTTAGAACTATTGAAATGTGACTTTATATTATTGAAGACACCATAGCAAATAGTTTTACACAATCCTCAGAAAGCACAACATGTGTGAAGCCAGGTCTGTGAAAATGCTATTGTTAATGCTTTTTTTTTTTTTTTTTTTTTTTTTTTTTTTTTTTTTTTTTTTTGCAAGTCAAGAGTGTCGGGATATTGCAAAATTGAAGGAATTGTGTGCCAGGATCTTGTGGTTCATCCCCAGGGCAGGCATGCTTGTATCTGGTGAATACAATGCAGGAGTTCCTGTTCTGTATAAACTATCTGTCTGCAAAATAAGCAGTGGGAATTGCCAACTTCAAATTTTATCATACAGTTCTTAGATAATACACTTCCCTCAACACTATTGTATGTGCCTATTTTTTGAATCAGGGTCATGTAATACCCCTTTCTTATGTAAGTTAGGGAAATGTGGATGCCTCTTAACCTTATGTATTGGGTTTACGTTAGACATTGTCTAACATTATGTTAGACATTATTGTTAGACATTGGAACAGGCTGCCCAGGGAAGTGTTGGAGTCACCATCCCTGGAAGTCTTTAAAAGACGTTTAGATGTAGAGCTTAGGGTTATGGTTTAGTGGGGACTGTTAGCGTTAGGTCAGAGGTTGGACTCGATGATCTTGAGGTCTCTTCCAACCTAGATGATTCTGTGATTCTGTGATACGTGCCAAGGGTTTGGTAGTGGGGGTCTTCAGGGCTTGTCCCTGTGAGCAGAGCCCAGCCGCTGCTCTGTGTCAGATAAACGCCACTTTCATCTGGCTGCAAAAAGAACCTGCAGCTGGCCAGAGCTGAGCCAGGGAGCAGCATTGGTTCGACCTCTGGAAGAGCAGATTTAAGAAAGAGGGTGAAAAAAAAATAATAAATGCTGTTCGACAGCAGCTGGGAGAGAGAGGAGTGAGAACGAGCCCTGCAGATCCCAAGGTCAGTGCAGCAGGAGGCAGGAGGTGCTCCAGGCACACAGCAGCAGTTCCCCTGAGGCCTGTGGAGAGGCCCCTGGTGGAGCAGGCTGCCCCCTTGAAGCCCATGGGTCCCACATGGAGCAGATCTCCACGCTGCAGCCCATGGAGGAGCCCCCGGTGGAGCAGGTGGATGTGGCCTGGAGGAGGCTGCGGCCTGTGGAGAGGAGCCCACACAGGAGCAGGGGCTCTGGGTGGAGCTGCCACCCACCCGGGGGGAACCCATGCTGGAGAAGTTTGCTCCTGGGGGATGAACTCTGTGAGACGGAGCCGTGTGGGAGCAGTGCTTGAGGGAGCTGCAGCCTGTGGGCAGCCCCCACACGATCAGTTGGGGAAGGAGGGCATTCCGTGGGAGGGACCCCACAGGGAGCAGGGGCAGAGAGGGACCGTGAAAGAGCAGCAGAGAAGTGCTATGGACTGACTGCAGCCCCCATTCCCCTTTCCTCTGCACTGCTCAGGGTAAAGAGTTAGAAGAGGGCGGATGGAGGGAAGGTGTTTTTAGTTTTAGTTTCTCACTATTCTAGTCTGCTAGTTATAGGTAACAAATTATTAGTTTCCCTTTGCTGAGTCTGTTTTGCCTGTGAAGGTAACTGGTGAGTGGTCTCCCTGTCCTTACCTCAGCCTTTGAGCCCTTTCAATTTTATTTTTCCCCCTTTCCCTTTGAGGAGGGGGAGTAAGAGAGTGGTTATGGTGGAGTATGGCTGCCCTGACAGATAAAATTATCCCACCCCAGTAGCTGCTAGGATATTTGCAGATACCAAATGTATATCACATGTTTCCAGATGTTTCACTGTAGGAGTAAATGTTTGTTCTAGCCATGTAGAAGAACACTATGTCATTGTTGCAGATAATCGATTGCCGTATCTACTGAAAGGCTTCTGAAAGCAACTGGGCTTGAGTGAATTAGATGCTCAAGTTCTGTTGAAATTCCATGGTTGAAGTACTGAACAACAGTAGATTCTTCTACAGATCCCAATCACTGAATATATTTTTGCTGGGGAAACAGTGTGAGTCTTAAGACTATCCTTTCCAGTTGTTAGGACATCCATAGTTCCCATCTAACGCTCACTTACTCATGCACCCTCAGCTCATCAGTTTAGTGCTCCTATTAATCTCATGGCCCATTTGCAGTTGTGCCTTGGAGCTCTGTGTAGTATGCCTGTGCCCAGTCCAGCTGGCTCCTGTGCTGTTTTACTGCTGGGCTTCATGGATGGGACCACAGACTTGCATTGGAGGTAGCCTTGTCTCCAGGATGGCCTTCAGGCATGTGCGACAGATAGCACCCTCTCTTGCTGTTCCCAAATGAACTTTCTGATGAACCCTGCATCTGACATGTTCTCTTGCTCCCTGACAGTGCAGAGAAGCTGCCACAAACCTGCCACAGTGTGGCCCTGCTTGGGTACCACAGGGCTGTGCCCTGCTTGGTGGTGGCAGTGTCCTGCCTGTGCTGCTATCACCCACAGCTTCTGCGGCTTCTGGCTCATCTCTTCTTGTGGAACATCCTCACTGTTGCTGCTCCCTGACATCAGCAGCCAAACTCAGCTCTCCAACAAATCAGAGCAAGGGCCTGGGGCAGAGCAGAGATCAAGAAACACCAGCTTCTCCAAAAAGCAAGAGGAGAATTCGTGCACAGTAAATGCAATACCTGTACCCTGCACATATTATTTTCTTCCTGTCTTGTGATGAATTTGTCTTGTGAGATTCTTCTGTCCATTTTTTCCCACCTTTCTCAGTAAAACTACTGTTCACAGAGGACCCAAAACGCAGATTAGTAGATAAACTGAATAGAGCAAAGCTAAAAGGACACATGTGGGCAACTTGTGGACCCGAAAGGGTAATGAGCTTCTATAGGATTAGTCTGTCTCCCGTACAAACTCGGTTGTCTTTAGTACAGAAGTCAGAGGTGATTTAAGAGGTGATGAAAAGTTTTGAAGAGGTTACTCTTCTCTTTCTGGATTTCTTTTGCATACTGTAAACCCATCTGGAATATAGTTTGAAGCTCATAACATTTCCAAAAGGTTTCTTTCACTTTTCTATTATGTTTTAAAGAGCTTAGTAAATTCTAAGATAAAACTTCGGTCCATGTCCTACAATCACTTTTCTTACCACTTAAGACTTAATTTTCTGTTACCGAATTTCTGTATTTATTGTGCTATATATCTATTATACAATTCTCCTGTAAAAAAGAGTCAAGTCTGAGTATAAAAAGTAGTAGTAGGTGAATAAAGGAATTAGGCATCCTAGACAAGGAATGGGGGGCTTGAAAACTATGGTAAATGAATTGCAGAAAGTACAGCAGCAGCTGAGATGGAGGGAGATCTAGGAGAAAAAATAAAAATCTCAAGAGGACTGGGAGAGTTCCCTGTTAACAACAGGGAATTGAGAAAACTTAATGTTGGAGTACCTGTCTGACACCAGAAGTAGTCTGAACGAAATGAAGACATACAGGAGGCTATTCATGAAGACACGCTGACTGGAAGGAAGACATATGACAGTAACATGGAAGAAATTTGACACCGTGAATCATCTTCACATTGGGACTGCTTGGATACACTTGAGGTCCTTGATGCACACACCACTGAGCAACAGTGCTTCTCTGGATCCTCATACAACATGTCTGGCTGGTCTTACCTTCAAGTCAGGCCTGGTTGTTGCCATGGTTTCACTACAGGGACTGCTACGATATTCACTGGCTCACCTGCGGTGTGTTAATGGGGGGCCAGAACATCTATAGCTGCTGAGATAAATTCACCAACTTCCATGATTGCTTTACCCAACATTTAAATCCCAATAAACTAAAGAACAACAGAGATGCATCTCTTATCAAAAGCCATTTCCAACCCCACAACACCCAGTGGGAACAGGACTAGAAAGCCTGCCTTTCTCTTTGCCCTCCACACAAGATGAGACATCTGTTTTTCTCATGGTAGGAGTGGCTTGGCTGCTAATTCTATGACTTCATTCATAAAATTCAATTTAACTTCTCTTGCTAAGAAATTTGGTGGATCTGCACGTGTCATTTAATTTTCCCTTGAGAGTTTGTGGATTGACTGTTGATGCACAGGTTTTATCAAGTATTCATTAGTGTACGTACCTGGTAGGCACAGAGTCTGAAAAGGAAATCCAGCAAGTAACAACTTTAGCTATTGCTTATCTGAAGTATTTGCAATGAAATGCTGAAATGTTTACAAGCTTGCATAAATACAAAAAGTGTCCCCACTGTATTCAATTATTCCAGTTGCGTTTTGTTGTGTTGTGTTTTTTTGTTTGTTTGTTTGTTTTTTCCTTGATTTGTTGTGTTGTTTGTTTGTTTCTTTCTTTTCCTTGATTTTGTTTTGCCAAGGTATGAGGATTTTCTTCCTGGGGTATCTGAAGCTGTTTTGAGATGATTTTTTCATACAGGCTATTCCTTTTCATTTAACATGGTAATTACTGAATGTAACTCCAAAAAAAAAAAAATAAAAAAAAAATCTAGCATATGCTTCTGGGGAAACATGGAGACGAAAGAGTATTATCTTTTTCCTTGTCTGTGTCAAATTCTGAATTCTGCCCTGTGTCCTTAATACAGATAAAGAAAGTATATACTAGGAAACTGGAGCAGGTGTAATCAGACATTAGCTATGCCTTTTCTAGTACAGGTGTCATGGCCAATTGTGGCTTTCTGAAAAAGCTGGATGAGTTTCCTATTGCTAAGTAATAGGGGAAAAGTGTCAAATTCACCCCATCTATCCCCTCTTTTCCTACCACCTGCTTCCTGCCAAGTACTCAGTAAACTCAACACATGACAGTGCCTGGGGAAAAAATATCATGCAAAACTAGAAAAGAAAGTTAAATTTAGGAGGAATAAGAACTATAATAAAATCTTTCTAGTAAGAATGTTATACTGACAGAATCCAGTCTGATGATTGAGTACAACTGCTAGGTTTATCATTTTAATTAAAAAAAAAGAAAAAAAAAAAAAGAAAAAAAAAAAAAAGAACTGATTACTCTTCCTATTTTGAATTTTTGAATGAATAAGTTTGACAAATAACAGCAGCTTTACTAAGAAGCTGACTCTAGGTAACACCACAAATACAACTAGATATGCATTTAGTCTAATAACAGTCAAACCTTTTGAAATTCTAGACTATTGAGAAAACTTTTTATTGTGAAGTATGTCTTTTTGCTAGAAATTACTTTTCTACTATCCTCAAGCTAGAAACTTTTAAGAATGTGCAATTTGAATGATACTTTAAATTACAATAAATGTTAGTATTCAATACTAACCTTAAACATTTATGTCTAAATTACAGGTTCTACTCTTCCACCTTGCAGGATCACAGGTGTAGGTCTTTATGAGGAGAAAGTGAATTTCTCAGAAGCAAGTAATGCATGCAATCAATTGAATTTACAACTGGCAAGTAAAGACCAGGTTGAAAAGGCTTTGAAACATCGCTTTGAAACGTGCAGGTATATGATATCAGTTAGCATCTCATTACCTTCAATAAACTACTTTACCTTACATGAGGCTGGTGACAAATCTGATATTAAAAGGACTGATGATTTTTATTGTAGCTATGGATGGGTGAAAGATGGATTGGTTGTAATTCCTCGGCTAACATCCAACCAGAAATGTGGTAAGGGCAAGGTTGGACTGGTGACATGGAATGCTGAACACTCTAAAACATTTATGGTTTACTGCTTCAATTCTTCAGGTATGTAAGCATAACAACTACATTTCTTGTGTTTGGATTGGATTTTTTTTAAATATCTGAAAAAAATTCATAACAGGAGAGATCTTATCACCTGGTAGCTATTTTCCCCTGACCTTAAATGTTGTCTAGCTGTATTTAGCTCTGTGGGGAGAAGCTTTCAAGCAATACAGGAGGTCCGTTCAGTTCATCCAAATTAATAAGTTGGTGCTGCCATGAAAGCTCTTATAAAAGAGTTGCTTTTACCATTCTGTAATGTCAACACAATACTTTTAATAGGATTTTATTATTTAGGTATTTTGATTTGAAGGACTGTAAATTGAATTGCTGACCATGAGTCAACAATTTGCCCTTGTGGCAAATTTGCCCTTGTGCTGGCCAAGAAGGCCAGCAGGATCCTGGGCTGCATTTGGAAGTGTTGTCAGCAGGTCAAGGGAGGTGATCCTCCCCCTCTGCTCAGCCCTGGTGAGGCCACACCTGGAGTACTGTGTCCAGTTCAGGGCTCCCCAGCACACGTGGGTTAGAGAACTGGAGCACCTGTTGTATGAGGACAGGCTGAGAGAACTGTGCCTGTTTAGCCTGGAAAAAGAGAAGACTGAGTGGAGACCTCATCAGTGTGTATAAATATCCGAGGGGAAGGTGTTAAGAGCATGGAGCAAGTCTCTTTTCAGTTGTGTCTAGTGACAGGATGAGAGGCTATGGGCACAAACTGAAGCCAGGAAGTTCCAGCTGAATGAGGGGACACTTCTTTGCTGTGAGGGTGACAGGGCACTGGAACAGGTTGCCCAGAGAGGTTATGGAGTCTCCTTCTCTGGAGATATTCGAAACCTGCCTGGATGCCGTCCTGCACAATGTGCTCCAGGTGATCCTACGCGGCAGAGGTTTGGGCTAGATGATCTTCAGAGGTCTCTTCAGAGGACCTAAGTTTGCTGAATGGTGAGAAAATGAGAATGTATATTTAACATAGGGATGATTCTGCATTTCTTCATCTTAATAGTTAAACTATTGCCTGTTCTAGGTATGTCTTAGCTAAAACATTTAATAGAAGCTCATTTTGTCAATTTTCTTTGTGGTTGTAACGTCAAAAAACATTTGAAAACTATGGCAGAAGACAATAAAGAGCCTCTGTCATTTAGGTTTTTATTAGAGAATCAAAGAATGGCTTGGGTTGGAAGGGACCTTAAAGATCATCTGGTTCCAACCCCCTGCCATGAGCAGGGACACCTCCCACCAGCCCAGGCTGCCCAAAGCCCAATCCAGCTTGGCCTTAAGCACCTCCAGGGCTGGGGCATCCACAGCTTCTCTGAGAAGCCTGTTCCAGGGCCTCACTACCCTCTGAGTGAAGGTTTTCCTCCGAATATCTAAACGTCCCCTCTTTTAGTTTAAAGACATTACCCCTTGTCCTACCGCTCCCGATGAGTCCCTTTCCAGCTTTCTTGCAGGGCCCCTTAAGGTTGTGGAAGGTACCTAATAAGGATAAAAGGTACCTAAAATAGCATTTATCTTCAAGTGTGTTATGTATTGCAAATATTTTTGAAGCTTGAATCTGCAGTTAAGCCTTCTGCTCTGCAGGAGGTCGGTGTGTGTGTTTAACATGGATTACCACTCTCAGTACTGTTCGGGAGGAATAGATTATGGGTATGCAAATACAAAACGAGCATCGCATTTACTCCAAGTGTTTAACCATGTGAGTAATGATAAAAAGGGCATAATCGGTGTCTTAGCTACACATATGAAATAAGCATGCCTGATCTGGATAAGGCAACAACTAATTTGCAGAAGGGAACGGCTGGGTAACAATTTCTGTAAACGTGTGCGCAGTAAGTACAAACCTAACAGAAGCATAACCTTTACGTGTCTCCTTTCCCTACTGCAGATGTTCAGATTAATTCATGTGTACCAGATCCAACTACAACTAGACCATCATCAAGCGCACCAACGCACTTACCTGCCTCTTCAGGCTCAGATTTAACTGAAAACGTCACAGTAGTGCCTAACGCAACTGAGACGGAACGGGCCTTGAAAAAGCTGAAATTTCAGGTGGTATGTGTAACTGAAACAATCTTACCAACTGAGGAGACTACTACCAACACGCCAGGGGAATACTCACTTGACTCTCCCAACTACACTTCCCGTGCTGCCTTTAAGAACGATGGCGTTGTCTTTGGAGGTAAAGGCTATGGGTGGTAGCTCTTCAGTCAGGAGAGCTGGTTAGTTATGTAGATGTTAGCAGGAAAACTGTTTACTGCTGGTCTTGCTTGCTACTCCAGCATACATTTTTATATAGCTGAATCTGGAAGCAGAATAAAATGTTACAGTTTTGCAAAGGCAAAGCTTATAAGGCAGAGAGTTGTTTTGTTGTTGTTGTTTTTAAGTAATTTTTAAGGTCTTGTTATGACTTTATACTTTTTGAGAGTATTTCAGTAAGAAATAGTAGAAAGTAATTTTGGTTAATGCGATTTGGGGTGAATATATTCCTTAAAAATTCTTAGCAGACACCATTTGCTCACAGTAATAGAAGAGTCTGCGGGCTCTTAAAAACAATAGAAGTCATGGAAATTTTAAGGAGAATAGTGCTTTGTTCTCCAGGTATGAGGTGTGAATAACAAATCCTAATATACAGCAACTGAGGAATGGACTAAATATGAGGAAAAAAAACCAACACATTCTAACTGGAAAGATGATTTGTTACAAAAACGTTTTTTTGGCAAGTTGTAAAAACTCTCCAATGAGCAGATTAGACAAAAATCTGTCATGGACTGCCAAAATACCTGTTTCAATCTCTCAAAACAATGAACAGGAGTAACAAACATTTTGAGATCCCTAATACCTCTGACCTTCTGCATGTCTACGTGTATGTACCTCCTACACAATGCTGTCTTAAGAAGAATCTGGATTTATATTCATAAGCCTTTAGAAAGTCTGAATTAAGAATCAATAAAAACTCAATGCATACTTCACTTTTTTCTCTAGGTATCCCAACAGCACTCCTTGTACTGGCACTCATCTTCTTCGTTACTTCAGTTGTTCTAGCAGTCTGCTATATCAAAAAGTAAGATTTTTCTTTCTTTTCTCTTGTACTGAGTTAACTTCTAGAGTACAGTCAGTGAATATTTTACTTATATAGTTAAAGATCAGAGATGTAATGACAAGTAAAGGACAAAGAACAAAATCTGCATCCCTGCTCTGCAGATAAAATTTGTTTTTGCTGTTACTATTCCCTATTTCAGAAAAGAAATCAAGGACAAGTATTACCTATCTTTGATTAATCAATCATGCCTAGTGTGGAACATTTCTGTGTCTGCCAAAACAGCAACAACATTGAAGTGTTGCTTCATTGAAGTGTGCATCTGTTTATATAAAAGACTGTTTATGTAGCTTTATTTTGTTTCTTTCAATGTCAAACTTAAGGGAGTAGATGTTACTCTTGTTCACAAAAAAAAAAAAAAAATGCTGAACTCATTTGAATCATTTATACAGATCTTCAACACGGAAGATCATTAAATATCAAAAAGTTGTCTGCATTTCTAACATCCTAGCCCAGCTTGTATTTTCATTACATAACACAAATCCTGAACATGCACTGTTTGTTTAAAGATACTTAGCATTTTGAGGAATGCTACCTAACTATGTCAGTGTTGCTGCTTTACTATCTTTTTTTCCTGTTTAAAGGTACAAGACAACGTTCCCATTTTCATACAAGAATCAGAAAAAAGAACTGGTTGAAACTACAGCTCTCAAAGAGGCTGAGTCAAATGACAAGACACCAGAGAAGGAAACAAAGAATAATGGGAAAAAGGTAGAAGAGTCTAAATCCAAGCCTGAGACCACAGTAAAATGTTTAGAAGCAGAAGTTTAAGAGGAAGAACATACACTTCTTTTTAGAAATACATAAAACAAAGCACACACCTTAACAATTCTTTTAAACATGGGTGACTGTAAATACTCATGAATTAATATTTTCTCTATCTTAACATACAAAAACGTCTTTTTTAATAATTACAACTGTAAATGCTCTTGCAAAAGAACATGGTCTCTTATTTACCTGAAATAAATGAAACGTCCATATTACAGCTCATTTTTCTTAATAAAGAAGTAAACAGGAATCTGCTGTTAATGACATACAGTGTGTAAGTATTTGCACAGAATTCAGAGCAATATGTAATTAAAAATTCCTTTTTATCTGGCTGGAGAATGTCTGCTAACTGAATGTCTAAACTAAAACGATATTGTAGCTCTTTATCTGTAGGGTAGTTTATTTCCATTAAATAGTTACTTTTTTTAAAAAGTGTGTTTACAAACAGAACAACTAAATCCGTTTAGAAGTAAAAAATAACTTTAAAAAATCAATATATCAGCCCACTGTCATTCAAATACCCAAAAAAAAGGATGTTGACGTGTTCATATATATATATATAATATATATGTTATATATTATATATATAATATATATTATATAGTATATATTATATAATATATATTATATATATATTTTTTATATATATATTATATATATATTTGTGTGTGTTCACATACTTATATAGCAACGAGTAACTTTCGTAGGCATCTTCATCATCTAATTTACTGTTTTATTTATTAAAACATGTATGATTCTCATATCACATATTTGATGGGGAAAATAACCTTGAAGAACTTTGACTTGTATCTCAACAAATATATATAAGGTCTTTGTGGATATTTAAATGTAATTTTCAAAATAAAGACCTCAGGTATTATGGGGCATTTACAGTACTTCATAAAAACAAACAAACAAACAAAAAACTTTGGTTTGTCTGGACCATTTATTCTCATGAAAACTGCCTTACAGGAAAAAGTACTCATATAACATTAGTGTTACAAAAGTAATCAGTTGATATAAAAGAAAAAAATCAGTAATTCATTAACTATTTTCTTAACAAATGGTTTCGACAAGCTGTATTTATATGTGAAAGGTTACTGTGGAAAAATAAGTTTCTTTTTAGAAAATAAAAAAAAAAAAGTAGCTTGAAAAAGTCTTAAATAGAATGGCAAGCAAACTGTTCGCTTACATGGCATTTTCTACAGTTAGAATACCTAGTTATGAACTTCCATTTTTAGATTCACAGAAATTTAATATTTGCACAGTGGTTATATGTTCCCCTTGATAGCAACTTACAGGGTAATGCTAATAGCGTACTTAAAGGAATCACTGTGTTGTTGTTTGGTTTCTTTCCTTCCCTCTTTTTTTTTTTTTCTTCTTCTTCTTGATAGCTCAGAGAAATTTCATGGCTCCAAGAGACAGGGCTGCTGTGTTGATATGCAGCCCACCACTGCTGCAGAGAGAGTGTGATTCAGTACAGCTCCAGAAACTGCTTATTTTAGAAGTTCATCCATGGAATTTCAACAGAAAAATCTGCAGCACAGGCAAGCACTAGTTACAGCCTTTTCCTGATCAGTTAAGTAGTTATTCCCCTTGCAAGGTACTGTAGGAACACCATGCACTTCTGCTTGCCATGCACTGAAAGCATGCTATGCTTTGTGAACAGAGTAGAGAGTAGGAATTATGCCATCAGGAAAAGCCACAGCCATCACTTGTCACAATGGTATCAGAATAGCAAGTGGGCTTAAAGATGCAGGCACTGGTAATGGATACAAGGTAATTTTGGATTATTTGTTTTGTGACATACTATGATTTCCCTTTATGATCTGTCTTTTCCAACTTTTTAGAGATTAGAAGTTATTCTGTTTCTTTCTTCTTTTTCTCACCAGCGTGTGAAAATTACGTATCCTGTCTTCTACTAATGTTACCTCTGCTCCAGAGGTACATAACTTGCAGATCATTGTATACACACCTGAAAATTTTCAAAAAATTGTTCTCTAATTTCCCTCAGGCTGGACGTTTGTAGCTTCTGTTTTAGATCTCAATAAGGGGCATGGTTTCCAGAAGTGTTTATTTTTTATTATTTTTAAATCCGTATGCGTTTTTAAGTTTTCAAGCCTTAATGTTTGAATGTCTCTTTTTATCACGTATCTTAAAAAGTCAGCTTTCATTCCGGCCTGCCCCCGATGCGTGGCTATGCACAGGGTTTGATTTGCTCCCCTGCATCCTGCTTTACAGCCCTCCTGGAACAAACCCCAACTCAGCATCATGGTGCTGCTGTACATCTCCTCTCCCTGGGCCTAGTCAGAAGTGTAAGGAACCTGCTTTTGCTGACACCTAATTTATGCCACCATTCTGCAGGCTGAGGTGAAGCTGCTGCACTGTTCTGGCTGTAATAAAAGCGAGGCATGAACGCCGCTCACCACGGACTGTGTTTGATGCTGTCTATACAAGCAGCACTCAGTCACACAGCAATTAGTCCAAAAGCTTCTTGCTTTAGCAGAACTGCAGTGGACATACTGCTACAAAACAGGCTGCCCAGGGAAGTGGTGGAGTCACCATCCCTGGAAGTCTTCAAAAGACGTTTAGATGTAGAGCTTAGGGATATGGTTTAGTGGGGACTGTTAGCGTTAGGTCAGAGGTTGGACTCGATGTTCTTGAGGTCTCTTCCAACCTAGAAATTCTGTGATTCTGTGATTCTGTGAAAGCCAACAGGAAACATTTGATTTCCAGACCACTTATCAAAAAAAAAAAACCCTAACCCCTTAACTGACAGCGCCACAAGACTTAAGAGGAATCTTTCACCACGTTGTGTCTTGCTTTTATTTTCTTTACCAGTCACTCTCACAGTGACCCTGCTCCCTGATGTCCCAGGCGTGGCGTTACGCTCGAGTGCCTCACAGAGTGCCTCACAGAGTGCCTCGCTGCGCCTCGCAGGAGCCCGGGTCCTGTCAGGCACTTGCCAGCTGCCCTCTCCGCCTCCCCCCCGAGGTCACAGATGTTTGCTGACCTCCAGCCAAGCGCGGCCGGGCGGCAGGAAGCCCAGCCGGCTCCCCCTTTCTCGTGGGAAGCTGCTCCTTTCCTGCGCTCCGAGCCCTCCGCAGCGCAGCCTCCCAGCCCCCAGGGCTGCCCTCACACCCGCGCGGCGTCACCGGGAGCGGCCGGGAACCGCCGGGAACCGCCGGGAGCCGCCGCCCCGCGCCTGCGCCCAGCGCCGGGGCCCGCGGGGAGGCAGCGGCCCCGCTCCGGTGCCGTGAGGCGGCGCCCAGCGCCCAGCGCCATGCCGGGCCGGGCCGCTGCGGTGAGCCCGCGGGGGCGCGGAGCCTGCGGCCGGGGAGCGCCCGCCGGGAAGGGCAGGGGAAGGGAAGGAAGGGGAGGGCGGCGGGGTCCGTTTAGCCCCGGGGCAGCCCTGCCCTGTCCCGTCCTGTCCCGCCTCGCCCCAGCTGCGGGCGCTGCGGCCGTGACGCGGGCGGGGCCCGGCCGGGCGCGGCTGAGGGGCCCCCGGGGGAGCTCCCGCGGCCTGGGCGCCTGCTCGGGGCCGAGGGGCAGGGCTGGCGGTGCGGCCTGCTCGGCGCAGGGGGGGCCGCCGGAGCCCAGCGCGGCCGTGTGCTCGCCGGGAAGGCCGCTGGGGCTGCGGGGAGCCGCCAGGGGGAAGGTGCGGGGTGGGGGGGCAGCTGGGGGAGTCAGCGCGGTGCTGAGCGGCCCCCGACCAGCACCAGCGGAGGAGTGAGTTGAGCGCGCACACCCGCTCGGGAACAGAAACCGATAGCGAGTCAAACAGTAGAGCAGAAATTTGCCTTCTTAGGTGAATTGCGGGAGTAACGCGTAGAGCACTGGGGTGAGACGTGCTTTATGCTGGGTGTCGGGCTTTACTTCCCTCGTGCCGAGCTCTTGGCAGCTGCACGCCATGCTTTGGGGCGTTTGGTAGGCGAATGCAGCGTTATGTACACATGGGGGGAGGTGAGGGGTTGTTCTCTGATGCTGCTCACAGTGTGTTTGCAATGCAGCTGCTACCACATCATTCAGCATTTTAGTATAAAATTGAGACTGTTCTGCAGTTAGTTTGCTATTGCAGACCTGTAGAAGTCCTTTAAAGGCGTGAAACTAATAGTTGGCATTACAACCTACAAGCTCTGTACAGACAGAATTAATTTGCATTAAAACAAACTCAAGACAAATAAAATAGAGGGAAGTCATGAAGCAATGTTAGGTGAGAGTGAACAAGGGGAGTAAATAGATACTTTCAGAATCAAAAGGCGCAGGGGAGAACCTTGTAAAAATTGTTGGGGAAAAAGATACGGGTGTAGACTCAAAGTGAAATAAGTTGATACTGGAGAGGTTTGAGCAAGTGAGTTCAGTGATACACCCTAACGTTGAGTCTCCTGTGCAGGTAGGGATTAGGCTAGTTTCACTGATTCCGGAATTGGTTTATAGTAATTCGGATTCCTTGACGTAGTTTAAGAATGCTATGAGAGTTCACTGAGGTGCCAAAGTCAGTCTGACTTAGGAAAACTAACTCGTAATGCCTGTGTGCAGACGTACAGTGATATGTTCAGTTGCAGATGTTCTGACTTTCACAGACGCGACCTTTTTTCTTTTGAAAAAACAGATTATCATCCTAATCTTGAGGTGTTGTTTTCCATTCCATTGGGTGCATTTATATGCGTGCAATGGAATTGATGAAAAAAATGCATGTGAAGCAATCTCTATTTAATACGAGTAATGCTATAAGCAAAATAATTTATTATTCGTGAGCTGTTAAAGCTACATTCCAGTCTTTTGCAAGTGTTCTTTTTTGTTTCTGATTCGACTATTGTTCAAGTTGTGTTGTAGAATAATTAGACTGGTTAGCAAGCAGATAAACTCTTAGATTAAAAGAAAGAAAGGGAGCAGCCATTCATAGAACATGTGAATGTAACTATTTAAAATCTTTTTAGCAGATGCTTTACCAGTGAATGAGAACTTCTTGCTATGGATTTGAGGTGAAGAACTTCACTATGGGTCAAATTTCAAGCCAGACACAAACTGTAATGAACAAGTTGCCAGAAAAAGTAGCAAAGCATGCCTCTTTGGTTCACGAAAGTGGTTTCCTAACGTATGAAGAATTTCTGGGAAGAGTAGCTGAACTTAATGATGTGTAAGCCTTATTTTGTTTCCTTCCTTTTTCATGTTCTACAGAGAACTTGTATGCAATATATTCTGGGCTGGCTAAGCCAGGACTACCTATCTGGTTTCCAAATGTTTTCTTTGGATCTTAAAGCTGTAATGGTTGTAATTGCACTTAATAATAATGGTTGTAATGCACTTAAAATACAAGGCCATTTCTCCTCCTTAAAATCACTTTTCTCCAATACTCTTCTTTCTGCCAGCGTCGCTTCTCTCTTAGAAGCTCACAAGAGGTAGACGTTTAGCTCTGTCTTTTTGTGTTACCTGTCACCCTTGCTCTTCCATCCTCCACCAACCACCTAAAGATGCCATGCTGTGTCCTATCTGCCCGTGACATTTGATAGGAAGTAGCACTATGAGCCCTATAAACAGGCAGTACAGCAACTCAGGGAAGGTGGTACCTGAGACAGATATTTGTGACCATTTCCTCACAAGATGGAGTGGAGGGGAAGGCGCTGACCTATTCTCTGTAAACACCAGTGATAGGACCCGCGGGAATGGTGTCAAGCTGAGGCAGGGGAAGTTTAGGCTGGACATCAGGAAGAGGTTCTTCACCAGAGCATGGTTGCACACTGGAACAGGCTCCCCAGGGACGTAGTCACTGCACCAGGCCTGTCAGAGTTCAAGAAGTGTTTGGACTGTGCCCTTAGTCACATGGTCTAAAATTCTGGGTAGACCTGTGCGGTGCCAGGAGTTGGACTCGATGATCCTTATGGGTCCCTCCCAACTCGGGATATTCAATGATTCTGTGTCTCTGGACATGCAGTGTCATTCCTCATTAAAAAATGAGATGTGCTTTACTATTTGAAACCAGTGACCAAGATAATCCAAAACAAAAGGCTGCATAAGTAAGATTTTTTAATAGCATGTGTTTTGTTTGATACATTGACAGTAAAAAGAAAAGAACAAAAAAGCAGAGTATTTATGGTATAAAATGGGCCGAGGCGGAAAAGGAGTTTTGCTGAAAAGGGTTTTTTGTGTGTGTGGGTTTTGGTAGCATTTGCCATTTGATTATAATGCAGAGTTGTATTCAGTTTAAAAAATATCTTCTACAATGTCATGCTTTTATGAATGTCTGTTGCATCGTCAAGAACAGATAGCTACATTTGGGGTAGATGGATTTTGAAGATTGTTACCCTATGTTTCACCTGAGAATCTAAGTACTTTTCAGTATAATTAATTCCAAAATATCATTCTTGTTCAATTTTTATAGTTCTTTACAGCATTTACTTTAGCCTGTAAATTTAGTTTGTTCTGATTCTCATAGAAAGACCATTGTGTCTGTATTTCATTAAAAAAAAAAATCATCTCAGGTCCACCTGAAGCTTAGTGCTTCATTATTACTATATGCTAACAAAAATACACCTTTTCTGCATGTAATGGTACTTGCTTTCCTTTTATATATACATACATGGTAAGGAAATAAACTTTCTAGATAGCATATCAGGATTGTGTGACTACTGTAATAATCAGTGAAAATATATTTGAATTAAAATGTCTGTAAGGGATGCTTACGTTTTGTGAGGTTCACTGTTCCATTTAAAATGAAATGGACTATGTATTTTATATTGAATGACATGCAGAGAAGGTCACTACTCTAGGATAAAAAGCACGTAGGTAAACAATAAATAATATTATAGTAACTGAGGTTACTGATCTTTGCATATCTAGCACATAACGTTAGATTGATGTTTCTTTATTTCAGTATTGCAAAATTGGCTTCTGGGCAAGACAAACATCTGTTATTTGAAGTGCAGCCTGGTTCTGATTCTTCAGCGTTCTGGAAGGTGGTTGTTCGGATAATCTGTACTAAAGTAAGATTGCTGAAAAAAATTAATTTGGCAGGGGTTTTTGTGTGTAGATGTTTGAAAGTTTGTCACTTTCACTGGTAAAATCCAACACCTGCTAGGTTTTTGATTTTGGTACAGGTGATGTATTCACGGATATTATTTGAGAGAAATCAAAAGTCTAGATTTCTGCAAAAAGCAGGTTAACAAAAACACTTTCATGACTAAGTTTGAAGGAATGGTACCTTCTCATGGTGCACTTACAGCCCATTAATTACAAATTCACGTGACTTTTGAGATGACTCAGGTGATTATGGACTAAATAATCTCTAAAGTTCCTTTTCAACCAAAACCATTCTATGATTCATGGATATCAAAGAGTACAACAAACTGGGAACTATATAGTTCCTTAATAGATAAAGTAAGCCAGCAATTCAGAGCATTGTTAGATGAGCTAACATAACTGTATATATCCTGACTCCTTATAAAACCAATCTAAATGTTAAATATTTACTTGTTTGAAGACCATGACAAAACTTACTAAGGTTGCTCTTACTAATGAGATTTTTCCTCTGTGAATCCTATCAAGATAACTTACGTAGATGGTTCTGAAACCACTAAGCAAGCTTAATGTGCAGTTCAAGCCAAGTGAACATTCAAACTTTGTTTGAAATGACCGGTTTGTAATTTTTGGTTGCTGTTAGTTTTCATTAAGGCCACTATCATTGCAAGCTATTTTCAGCTCAAATGTGAAATGACTGATTATTCTCTTCCCTGTTTTAAGGTTAACCCATTTTTTAGGCATTATGTCCCTGCTTGCTTAAAACTGAGCAATGATGATAATTGCCTTGTCCCAGGAACGTAGTCCTAACTGTTCTTCAAGAGAAAACAGAGAAGTGCTGTATTTTCAGATCCTAACTCTTACTGAAGTGGACTGCAATTTGCTAACACTGTGATGGACAGTTGGGAAAGTGGCTACTGTCATGAGAGCTGCAATGCATAAAAATAATTTTGATAAATGTACAGTAAAAATCTAATACATAACTGTATTTAACAATTCTTATTTCTTAAGGTAAATAAAGCAAGTGGGATCGTTGAAGCTTCAAGAATCTTGAACTTGTATCAGTTTGTTCAGCTTTACAAAGATATTACCAGTCAAGCAGCAGGAGTTCTTGCACAGGGAAGTACTTCTGAAGAAACTGCAGAGAGTTTGATGTCTGTATCATCGTGCCAGGCCAGCTTATGGATGGGAAGGTATTTTCATATATTTAAGCTTCTGACCACAGCTAAAACGTAAATATTTTGGAAGTTGTGTGTAAAACCTGAACTGCAAGCGCATAGTAATCAAAACTGCACGTACTTTGGAGATGCAGACTTTATCATTGTGAGCATTAATAGCACATCTTCTTTTGTACCAAGAGAGCTGCACTGAACTTGGTTAAAATTCTTTTGGCTTAGCTTTCAGGACAATCATTTTATTGGTCAGTTTTAATATAAACATGGTATATGTTGTATCTCCTGAATAAGGAAACAGGAGGAAATGGAATCAGCTGCAGCTACAAATCTAGGGATTTTGACACTGTTTGTTTAAACAGATTTTGTTATTGTTCCACTTAAACTTTCTCTTCCTCTTCTACAATTTGGCATGTGAAAGTTCCCATCTGTTGCCACTAGAAACTCATCAATTGTGGTAGTAATTTAACTTGTAAGACTGGAAAAATGTGAACTGTCTCACACATGTTGACATCCTGCTTTGTTAACTAGAGGAAAAGCAAAAGACTGAGGTCAACACCTGCAATAACTTCAGTTCAAATTGAATGTAACAGCAAGAAGCTGCTCACCCTTTCCCTATGTGGAAATGTTGCTAGTGATAATGCCTTACTTCCAGCTTTCTGAATCAGTTCAGTGTTCAAACTTAGTCTTAAGTAAGGTAGAGTTGCTGACCTTGGTAACTCTTCTTAGTGTCATATTCCAGCTGTTAGATTGAGAACAGGGTAAACAGTGTTGTCATTAAATAGAGCACACTTTTTTTTTTTTTTTTTTTTTTTGTAAGCCAGTGTCCTGCAGAGCATGCTCTTTTTGTTCATGTTCCTGTTTGTCAAATTTGGAAGCAAATAATCTTCAATTATTAGCTGTTCTGAGTTACTAATATGCTAGTATCAGGTAGCATATTTGGGGCACGTTTAAGAAAGTGTATTTTCCTGCTCTTTTTCAAAGATGAATGTATATCTAGAAATGGCCTTTTAATTAAACAAACTGCCACAACCTCAAACCAGTTGCTTGTGGAAAACAACTTAAAGTATTACTAAAGTCAATGAATAGCTATAAGGTTTCCCAGATTAGTTTCATTTTCAGACTTTGAGATGGGGAAGATGAGCATCCTATTTCTGTGCGTGTAAACTTCTTTGCTTAAGGTAGTATTACTGACAAATAACACACACAAAAAATGAACATACTTTTATAATATGATGGGGTAATATGCTCTGATTTAGTGAGCTGGCATTTTCCAACTGTATTTTATCCAAGCTGTTCAAGTCATTCAGAAAAATACAGCCTGAAGCACGTTGAAGTATTTTGTACCTCGGAAATTGGTTTTCCATGGTATCCTCCAACTTGCCTAAACTCTGGTCACCTTTAGACATTGTTCGGCTCTGTCACTGTCCAAAAATAGCAAATATTATCTGTTTCATTCTTCTTCTTATCTTAAGTTCTTACATGGGGAATGATACCCTCTTTCTCTAAAACATACAGCTCCTATTTAGAGCATTCCAAAATATCCGTAACTGCTTTATGCCTTCTGATAGTGAAGAGAAAAACATTTCCTTAGTTTATTGTTCTTATATTTTGCCATTTCTTCAGTAACTTAGTCCTATAGCTGTCTTAAATTCCAGAAGCATTGTAAATAGGGCATCGGTTTTGTTTTAAGTGCTTGTGTATATATACCAGCAAGTCTCAATGACTGAATTATTATCAAAGGGTAGTATTCAGAGCTGCATGGGGGAGGGAAATGAAAGGGAGCAAGTCCAAAGAACACAGTGGGGAATCAAAAGATATATATATGTGTATTATTTTTTTTTGAAACTGTGCTTCTTGATGTACATGAATCAGCATCTGTATTTATACAGAAAATCTCCTTGCATTCTAAAGTAATTTCTCAAAAAACAAATTGAAAAGGAAGATCCAAGAACCTACTGAAGAATAAAACAAAAGTATGTTAGTTACTGTTCATTAGCTGGCTAATCTGTACAGTTAATAAAATTACTCTGCATTCCCAAATCAGGGTTTTTTTAAAACCTAAAAACTCCAGAACACTTAACTAGCTGTTTTGCATATGAGCCTTGACTGGTTGGATCATACCTACTTGGATCGGTGAAAGTTGAGGATTCTCTGTACCTTCTCACGCTTAAGAAATCTTGGTGATGCAAATATTTGAGATGCTATTGTTGTGAACTTGAGATACAGATACCTGTTATTTGAAAAAAAATGAAGATGGATAAAATGAAAGCATCTGTCCCAGTGGGCAATCTAGGTTTTGAACTCCCCTCACACTCAGGAATACCTGGAAGCTTAACTGGAAAAGCTGGGGTAACTTGACTTGAAATCTTAACATGAAGGAACACTAGTGGGGAGTGTATTGCAAGTAAAGAGGATGCTTTTCAATCTTATGAGCTGTTTAACTCTTGGTGTTTTGATGGCATGTCAGATTAGAACATGCCCTCCAGTAGTGAAGCCTCTTAACATGCGTGCTTTTGTCACATTTCCTAGGGTTAAGCCAGAACACGGAAATGTGACCAAGTTCATTCTGAAATATTTCAGCACGACAGTCTGTGAAAGGAAAGCAGATTCTTCTCCTGCCTTTAATGTAAACAGTGTTTCTGTTCTTTGGCCCAGTCCTGTGATATGTAACAGTTACAATTTACATTTCCCTTGTTGATATGAAAAAGGATTTGCATAACCCTTTGCAACACCAAAAGTACAACATGACAGAAAAAAATAAATGTGTTTTCTAACTTAGTCTAGTTTGGTTGCTGCTATTTGTTGGTAGCTTGAGGTTGTGTCTGCTGGCATAGAATGGGATGATGTAACTACTTCATCCACGAGACTACATCTTCATCGTCGATAAGTGCAGGTGTTCTGTTCTGTCCATCAGTAATTTTTTATGAAAAGTGTTGTAACTAGTATTTTTGGTAGGGCATAAATATGAAACTTGCTTGTCATCTGGGAGAAAATACTGCCTTCTCTTCTGCAGGGTCAAACAACTGACAGATGAAGACGAATGTTGCATCTGCATGGATGGACGTGCTGATTTGATCTTGCCGTGTGCTCACAGTTTCTGCCAGAAGTGCATTGACAAATGGTAATAGATATTAAAGGTTATTCATTATTTTATAGTATGCACTGCTTATCTGACTTGTTTCAGTTTGGTCTGACAGATTCCTTAGTTAGTTGCTTAGAATTTAATGTTTAATTACAAAACATTGTAATGTTGTTTGAAAACTAGAGAAAAATAGGGCATATGCTGATGCTGGTACATTATGGTCCACAAATCTCATGAAAAGCTGCTTTTTGAAGAAAAAACAGTAGCTTTTAAGGGTATGCAGATATGAAGGTAAGTTGGACCATCTTATTAGTTATCTGGGGAGTAGCTATTAAAGGAATTTTTGTCTGTGTGTTGTGCTTTCCTTTGAAACAAATATACAATTTACTAATTTTTTCCCACATGACATCCTTATCTCTGAACTGGAGAGATAAGGATTTGAAGAGTGATTATTCGGTGGATAAGGAATTGACTGGATGGCTACAGTCAGAAAGATGCAGTCAAGAGCTTTATGCCCAAGTGGAGGCCAGTGACAAGTGATGTCCCTCAGGGGTCCGTCTTAGGAGTGGTGCTGTTTGGTACCTTTATTAATGACACAGGCAGAGGGATCGTGTGCACCCTCAGCAAGTTTGTAAATAACACCAAGCTGAGTGGTGCAGTTGGTAAAATCAGAATGAAGAGAAGTCATCCAAAGGGACCTGGACAAGCTAGTTAAGTGGGCTCATGAGAACCTAATGAGGTTCAGCAAGTCTGAGTGCAAGGTGCTGCACCTGGGTCAGGGCAGTCCCAAACATGAGCACAGACTGGGTGAAGAACTCACTGAGAGCAGTTCTGTGGAAAAGGACTTGGGGGTGCTGGTGGACAAAAAGCTTGACATGCACCAACAGTGCACGCTTGCAGCTCAGAAGGCCAACTGCATCCTGGGCTGCATCAACAGAGGAGTGGCCAGCAGGACAGAGAGGAGATCATCCCCCTCTGCTCAGCCTTACTGAGGCCCCACCCAGAGTACTGCATACAGGTCTGGTCTTGCAGCACAAGAAAGATATGGACCTGAGGGAGCTGGGTATGTTCAGTCTGGAGAAGAGAAGACTCCAGGGACACCCCATTGCTGCCTTTCAGTACTTTAAGGGGGCTTATAAGAAAGATGGAGAGCGACTTTTTACGCTGGCAGATAGTGATAGGACGAGGGGGAATGATTTTAAACTAAAGGAGGGGAGATTTAATTTAGATTTTAGGATGAAATTCTTTACTCAGGATGGTGAGGTCCTGGAACAGGCTGCCCAGAGAAGCTGTGGATGCCCCATCCATGGAGGTGTTCAAGGCCAGGTTGGATGGGGTCCTGGGCAACCTGATCTAGTGGGTGGCATCCCTGCCAATGAGAGGAGGATTGGAAACAGATGACCTTTAAGGTCCCTTCCAACACAAACCATTCTGTGACCGTGTGATTGTACTAAATGTATCGGTGTTTATCTAGGAAACAATTTAGTCTTAATAGCAATGCTTTGAAATGTTTCTGTAACGTACCTTATATGTTCAGCCTCATACTAAACTGAACGGCTTTTCAGCTTCTGCGTCTGTCTGATACATCAGTTGTTGGAAAAACGAGAAATTGCTTTCTGTAGGAGAGTAGCTCTCTCCACTGGCCATACAGAAGACCTACAGGGATTAGGCAGTGTTCTGGCAGTCTAGCATTCGATGATAGATATTCTTGGAGACTTGACATGATTTTACATTTTAAGTCATAATGCATATGACTTGTTTTGTGTCTTTTTCAATGGCTTATCAAGGAAGTTACCTTTGTAATACGTGCTCAAGAAAAAACAGTAAAGCTTTGTGGATCTCCGAGTATAGTCAGTCATCTCTTTTCTAGGAAAATATTTTAACATCAGCATTGCAGGGCTTATTTTAGCTATCATGGTGGAGAATGGATTATATTCTACTATGGCTGATGTATCAGCTGAACTCAGTTCCAGTTACACCATTCTTTTCTAGTATGCAGTTTCTGAAGTTCATCCCTTCTTAACCTAGGCACGTAACAGAGGCTCACAGCTTAGAAGCATAATTGCTTCAGACACCTGAGTAAGTGGGCGGAAGGGGACTCTGAGGGGCCAATTCTAAACTTCAGTGCGCTGATTGATTTAGGAAAAGGATTCCTTTTTCTCTTTACAGAGGAAGGTTACAGAGACTGTTTTTTGAAGTACCTCAGCTATATATCTAAACATAGGAAGAGTTAATTTAGACCATTTAAACTTTCTGGAAGGTGTCTAGATGTATTCTGTTTTGCATGAGCAAACTCAGAACATGACACCAAATTTATCACTCACAGACTAGAGCCACATTCAGAACTGTTGGCAAATCTTTGTCATAAAGAAAAACTTCTGAAACAATCAAAAAAAGATATTGGAGGTCTCATCCTATTAACCTGATAATTTTTTAAGTTTTCACTGGGTTGTTTTTTGTTGTTGTTGTTCATTGGTTTGTTTGTTTTGGGGGCCAGAAAAAAGATTATAATTGAAAAATAGTTATTTCTCTGGATTTCTAACAGGAGTGATCGTCACAGGAGCTGTCCTGTCTGTCGTCGCCAAGTGACTGGGGCAAGCGATTCTTGGGTGGTTTCAGATGCACCTACAGAAGATGATGTTGCTACTTACATCCTTAACATGGTAGATGAGGCAGGCCAGCCTCACAGACCCTGACACTGGTCAATAAGCTGACGGTAGTAGAAGCACTTGAAGCTTTTGTTTTCACGAACATCTGGTTTTACCTCTTGTTGCCATTCTTCCAGTCTTTTATTTCTCTTCTTGGCTGCTGTGGATCTATGTTGCTCTTTTAAAACACAGGATGTATGAGCCAGTGTATGTGTTTGCAGTCTTAATTATTATTCTGTACTTTCAGTGAATTCTTTAACCATTAACAACAGTTATTTTAACAGTAACTTTTGATATTAATTAACAATTTGACTACTAGATGAAGCTGTTAGTAACAACACAGTTACAACTGCTAACTGCTGTTTGAACATCACAGTGTACTGTTACTGAAGATACACCATGTTAGATGGATTGACCTCACAGTTCTTTTCCTTAAAAGCAGTCCCTGTTATGTTCGTGACAAATACGAATAAAGATGAGTTAGGACTAGTGATTACTGATTTGAAATTTTACTGCTGAAACTTGAAGATGTCACATTGCCTATTCTTCAGTAGCCAGTCTTGCTGTTTTTAGAGTTAACAGATACCGATTTCTATCTGTTCTGCTACAAGTTTTAGTATTAATTACTGTTATTCTTCTAACTAGATAATCTCTTAAAGTATTTATTTTTAATTGGATATTTAGCATAGTCTCATTATTTTGAAAACATAAAAGTTTCACACACAATCCTAAAAAAGTAAATCGCTTTCTGTATTTTTTTCATCAAGAACAGTCAGAATTATTTTTAAACAGGCATATCTGAAAGAAATGACTTTATTTGAATTAGCAGTTAAGGTGCAGTTTAGTCTGATGCTGTGGTTTTATTTGCTTCTCCTAAGTTTTCCAAACTGATAAAACTAGGTACACTGAGGATTACAAGGTGATAATCTAGGTAAGTGAGGTGCTGTGCTTTCTATCTACAAGTGCAATATGCTTTTATGTAGCAGAGAGAATCTTCTACTTTGATAATAGTTATGTTTGCAGTGAGATATGCATGTGACAATGTGGGAAAAGGGATATTATGACTGGAGTTCAGCAGTGTATTTCTGTCTAGCAGAGTTAAATCTTTAAAGAGCTGGGTTTAGATAGTCTAAAACAAATTGTCATCATTAGTATTCAGGAAACCACATCTTAAGCCTCTCTGGCTTAAATAATATTGTGGCAACCAACTGCTGTTGTGAAGAATGAATTAATGAATATATTTAACTCTTTTAACTCGAGGCTGTTGAGAACTACTCCACTGTATCATTTGAGGGAATATCAGCATATATCTTGCTTATTCTAAGACTGTATTTTTAATTGCCGTACTTGTTCAAATTTGATGATGCCATAAGACTAAGGCCTTTTATCAGAGAGTAGTTCTCAACTGCAAGGTATGTACACACACAAATAAGCACATTTGGGTTACTTTTCTAAATTGGCTAAAAATAATTGAATTATGTCAATGACCAAATTTGGGGAATTCCTCTGTTATACTTCTATTTGCTAAGGAATATGCACATCATAGGGCATCCGTTTAAGCTTGGCTTGTGGCACAGTTGTCAAGTTTATCATAAACATTTAGACAGATAAGCAACATACTCCTGTTGTGGTTATCATCTAAAAGCCAATATGGCTTATGTATAAATCTCTATTTAACTATTTAAAAATCCATTTATGAACTATTTTTAGAACCAGTTTAGAACTCTTTTTTCCCATTTGTTAATCCTTTGATATCAATGAGGTATTCTTCAGAATATATATGGACTATTTGGTTACATAAGGGCAGTTATTTGGGCTGAAAATTACAATAGTCAGGGATTTTCCACTAAAATATTCACAAATGGTTGTAATCGTATTCCAGTTTGGTTTCATTTTGCTTCTTGAGCTTGCATTACTCCATATTAAGGACTTTAAAGTCACATTTGAATTTTAAAAGCTGCTTTTTTTATGTCACTGGAACAGAAAAAGCATCTAAATTTGCTTCAACCTAACTTCATTTTTCAAGTATTTTGAAAATTGTACTTCTAAACTGAGATTTTATAAGTTAACTTCCTGCTGAGAACTTACATGAACTTCATAAAATATAATTTTGTAATGAATGCAAACAGGTTGTTAATTGTAGCATAATGACACTTGCAAATACAATATAAAATATAAAATTATGCAAAAAATAATTAAATAGTGAAAAGTAAACTTTGTATTCTGTACAGCTTTTTTAATTAAGTTGCTTATAATTCACACTGCTGTGATGTAGGTACCGTAACGTGTGCCTTGTAAAATATATGTACTGTATGTTAGATGGAATAATAGGTATATTAACACTGAAAAAATAGTAATTTGGTACAGTTGGTATTTCCTATTCTGAAATATAGGTAGCAACCAATTTTGGAAAAGGAATCACACTGGCAGGGACATGGCAGTGTGTTCCAGAAGCTAGACCTTAAAATGTGAATTAATATGAATAACTATAGGTGGAGGGCATTAGAACTGAATCTTCTTGTGCTAAAGTGAAGATTTCTTACAGATTTAAAGTGAAAATATAATTTAAGTATTATAGATTGTATTAATAGCTAAGTACATTCCAATATATTAAAATTTGTGTATGAATTGTGCAATAAAGTTACTTTGGAAGAAATACCAAGCTTGAAGAATCTCTTAGCTTTAATACCACAAAAGTCTGGAAACTGAATTTTAATCTGTATCCAATTCCGTCATGCAGATGGTATGGTTAAATGTCATAATGAGTCAGAGGTTTCTCAAATGTTAAAGTGTGGTATTAGCAAGGTAGCTTAAACGCATCTCTGCAGAAGGACTCGCTGTTTCTTCATTTTTCTCAAAAAAAAAAAAAAAATTGGAACGTTCTGCAGTGGTGGAAACAAATCTCTGCTTCTCAAAAGGACAGTATCAAGCAGGTTTTTTTGTTTTTGGGGGGGATTATTTTTTTCAAGGAATTGTGATTTATTTTGTATGCAAGCTAGTCCATTGTGTTTTTGATAATAAAGTTTAAGAATGATAAGGTGGGAAAATCCTTTCTTCTCAGATTTCGCCTGTTTGGGTTTTATTTGACTTTTTTTTTTTTAATTGGGGTGGGAGGGTCAAAAAGAAATTAAATCTATAATTGATGTAAGTGTTGCTTCTGTCTAGTTGCTTGGTTTATCTGTTTGGATCTTTGGAAGACAAGTGAGAAATGAGAGAGGAATTCATTAACAAGTCAGGAAATTAACAACTGCAAAACATACAGTTGACAGAGACACCAAGAGGTAGGTAAAAAAAATAAAAAATGTTTATATTTAGTATGTTTAAAGATTAGGCATCAAATCAATGTGACATACATGTTTATTTTTTAGTGGTAAATGGCATATTTATCTTGTATATCTTTCCTTTCAAAGAGAATTCTGTGCAGAATTATAAAGGCTTTCTAATCCATATTCATCCTAGTTCTGGAATCACAAAGCAAACTATGAGATCTCTGTGCTGTAGGTTTAAAACACTTTGTGCCTTGCTGAACCCTGGATCAGCAGCCTCCTCAGGGTGCCTTAAATGTGATTGGGAACCGTATGTTAACCTGTCTGCTCTGAAATCTTGACATGACATCTGCCCTTTAGTTCTGCATCTACTAAATACACGTGGTCTGTAATGGAAGAAATTATATCATGACTAAGACTGCAAGAGTGCTAAACCACTCTTGAATATAAGTTCCCATAAAGTTTTACTTTCACTTGCTGTAAGTGGTGACTGGAATTCTGCCTATGCGCATTTCTTAAAAATTACTAGAAAACTGATTTTTTTCTAGTCATCTCTTCAGATGCTTGTCTTCTAACGCCTCATTTTTATCGTACAGCAACATACCTTAAAGACTTCTTTTCCTATTGCTCCATGTAGGTGAAAGTAATGTGACCGATACAGTGGTCTTCTCAAGTAACCCCAGAGCTCCGTCACCAGATACGCAATTTGCTGTAAATTAGCCTTGTTCTTATCAATGTTACATCTGTAATGGATTTGACAAGTTCTTTACTTTTATTATCTGAGATGTCCATTCATGCATTAGGAGGTGGGTGATTGATTACCTTGCTAACCTAGCTATTGAGGGTAAAATATTGAGCTCTGTGCATAAGCTTCGTAGGTGTGAAGTTTAAAAAAAAAAAAAAAAGTGTTTGGGGAATGTGGATGGAACTGTGCCCCATGTTAAGGCTGGTGGTGTGAAGAATATTATTCAACAGGTAATCAAATGAGCACTTCTCTTTGATTCAAATTATTTATTAATATATTTGGAAATACACAGTATTTTTATGAATGAACCTAAAGTTAGCCAGAAACTTCCCTTTCAGGAGTTCACTTGTGTGTAGAACAAGGTAGAATTTTGGTACAAAAGTCTATGCATCCACACTAATGGATGCATCCACACTTTGTAACAGACCTTAAAAAAAGTGTTTTTTCATGTGGGAGGATACTTCTTAGCCATAGTTAATGCTTAATGCATTAGCAGTGTTGTTTTTCACACTTAGTACATATACATATACCATGATGCTTAATGTTGGTATTTTGTGTTTTGAGACGTATAGGAGAGAAATATTCATTATTCAGTTACATATGTTCCTAATTCGCTACTCTTGTGCTTAATGCGCACCAGCTTGTTCAAAAAAAGCAACAAAGGGTTTGTACAGAGAGACACATTTTAATTTTCCTCTGCAAAATCTTTATTTTCTACAGAAAAAAGTGATTTGTGTTAAACTCTTTCCCTCAGAAGTCATCTTTACTGCAGCAGAATCTTTATGTTGCTATTAACTACTTATTTCAGTTTGTCACTTATGAACTTCTTGGTTTTGTTGGTTGATTTTTTTTATTTTTATTTTTTGGTCAGGTAAGACTGCTTAAATTGTTTCATCTGTGGGTTTCAGAACTGCTTTCCTGCTCCCAAATTCAGTTGTTTTGACTCATACTTTAGCACTAAGCTGAGGCTCCAGTATCAGAAGAGCTGCAGCGTGCCCCACCCAGATTTCCACTTTGGATGAGCACGGAGACAAGATACAGGGTTGGTAGCCCTGCAATACAGTTTCACCTTGGGATGTAATGCCAGGTCTTCTGCTGGGACAAATCAACATAACTGGTTTTCATTAACACTGGGTTGCTTTAAATGAGCTAAACATTTGCTTCCTTTTCTAAATAATGCTTATTATTATCTATATCTATCGCTACTGTTTTGTGTTTTTTGTTTTCCCAGTTTTCATGCTGTGGTAATCCTTTATCTTTAGTTTCATCTTCTGTAATGCTAACAGTTACATTACAGTTTTTTAGTTAAATGCAAAGATTTTCAGCAGCCACAATTTTATTGAGAGGTGCGCACACACAAAAATACTATCCAGATTTTTTCATTTATTTATTAATGTAATGTTTAATGCCTCCACAAGAACCAAAGATAAACATCATTTAACCCAGGCACAGAACGGAAAAGCAGTTCTCACAGACATCCCTTCCTTTACCCCCGTTTTTCAGGCCAAAATGTTAACAAGGCAACTAGAACGGAAAAGTTTAGCCACAAGTAAAGAGCAGTGACATACATGAGAAAGTAAGATAGGTCTGGTATGAAGAAAGACTTGCATTACCCAGTAGCAGAGTAAGCGCCTTAAATCTGCTAAAGTTCTTTAAGAAAATGGAAGAGCATCACTAGAAGTAGTTCAAACGGATATGTTTTAAATATCAAATAACCATAATTAACCATTTTAGGTGACAGTGTAAAATACTCTGAGCTACCAGATTTAAGGAAGTCTTGAATAACATTTGAATCTTAACACCAATGAGATGATGAGAAAACAGGCTGTTCTCCCCCGCCCTACCAAATCACCACCCACAGTGATGTTCTTCTAGTCCCCTTCTGTTTTCTGTCTGGGTAAGGTAAACAGTGGTGTAACCAGGTTGGATCTCAACACTGTCTGGGAAGAAATTACTTCAGCAATTTCATTTGAGTAGGCTCACATTTGAGTAAATGTGTCCAACAGTAATTCAGATGACATTAACACTCCAACGCTGGATCTGCCCTTCATTACATACATATCCTAATACTGCAAGGTTATTTGAAATAGCCAACACACTAGTACAAAACTGCAATTTAAAAAAAAAGCGCTCAAGGTCTGGAACATGAGGATCAGTAACCTTTTCCAAATTGAAAGATGACCAGAAGAGATGTAGTAATGGATGCCTGGAAGGATGCACATTGGTTTTCCTAAATATAACACTATTAGCTCAATTTACACTTAAAAGCATCACCCAAGAATGCACTGAAAGGAGAGTGTGTGGTAATAATAACACACAAATGACCATTGTCAAAAATCCACATTAGTGTCTCTTAACAATGAATACTGAAAGATTCAAGTAGTTTTGTCTTTTGATTCTTTTATTGTTTTGTCTTGAAAAGCTACCACCATGTTAGAACCAGATGTTTCTGAGGTCAGGGAAGCAGAACATGTAGTAGAACATAAAATAGTATAATGTCAAGAAAACTAAAACAACAAAAAAAAATAAATGACAAAAGAAGCTGTAACAGCAATGCTTAGGTGAAGCAGCTCAAGTAAAACAATGATTCTGAGATGAAAAATACTTGAAAGTTAAATTTGTTAAACAAAACACGTTGCTGAATCAGAGTGGATACACTTGCTTTTCTCAAGTAAACTATGTTATGTTTATAAAAAATATTAGGGTGTTGTACTAATGAAGACAAGACTTCTGCATTTTACCAACAGGTACCAAAAAAGGTTGTAACCACTCAGACCATTGTAAGAAAATTACACTCTTGAATCCTGATAATGCATTATGATAGAATCATAGAATGGCCTGGGTTGAAAAGGACCTTAAAGATCATCTAGTTTCAACCTCCCTTGTCTACGCAGGGTTGCCAGCCACTAGAGCAGGCTGCCCAGAGCTGCATCCAGCCTGGCCTTGAATACCTCCAGGGATGGGGCATCCACAACCTCCCTGGGCAACCTGTTCCAGTGTCTCACCACCCTCTGAGTGAAAAACTTCCTCCTAATTTCTAACCTAAATCTCCCATCTTTCTTTAAAACCACTCTCCTTTGACCTATCGCTACCAACACATGTAACCAGGCATTCCCCCTCCTGTTTAGACGCTCCCTTCAAGTACAGGAAGGCCGCAATGAAGTCTCCCTGGAGCCTTCTCTTCTCCAAGCTAAACAAGCCCAGGTCCCTCAGCCTTTCTGCATAGGAGCGGTGCTCCAGCCCTCCGATCATCTTAGTGGCCCTCCTCTGGACCTGTTCCACAAGTTCCACATCCTTCCACATCTGTTAAGTGAGCTTCTAGAAATTTCTAACAGTGAGGCCAATAGGTATTGTTGATTAAGAGAACAATGTCACGTTACACAGTTGAACAATATAGCACTAGTTTGCAGTGCTAGCTGCATGAGGAATTAAAAAAAAACAAATGGCACTAGTGGAACAATGAGACCTTAGGCTAAATGGCTGAAGAGCTCAGGACAAGTCTTCTGCCACCTGCCTGCAACCATATTTTGGACAAAGAATTCATCTTCTATCCCTGCCAACACTGCAGCTCCCTGCATGACCCAAAGTCTGTTCCTGTTCCCCAGGGCACCCTGCAGCAGCCTTAGTTCCAGGCTGCTTCCTAAGAGTCTTTTTTCAGGTTATTTTCTCTTAAGGGGCTCTTACGGGTCTGTACAGTTACAGGCCATGAGAGGGAATTCTTCCTTCCCTCACTTGGCTATTTTCCTGTAATCACCATTCAGGACAGTAGGTACATAGGAGAAAAAAAAAAGAAATTGTCTTTGAAGGTATTGCTTTCAGATCCTACAGCCTGTGGAGCCTGTCTTCAATAAATACGTACGTTTATACCATTGGGTGGTTTAGTTTAGGTATTACCACCAACACACCTTCTGTCTGCATTTACAAGGGAAAGTAAGACTTGATCAGCTCCTGAAAGGAAGGATGTAGGTGTCCAAGAGAAGGGCCTGGCCCAAGAAACTTGAGTGGCATGAGATATTTGATGTGGTAAAAGCTTGCAAGGTTCTAGGTCTATTAAGGCTTAATTGACTAAGTTTAGTTACTTGCTTTTTACACATCAGTTCTGAATTACTGTTCTAAGATGCCTAACCTCCCAGTTTACTGTTTTAGATATCCAGGTCTCTAACTGTAGGCTGAGGATCTTAGCTTATGGACTACAGGCCTTCAGATGAAGTAGTGTAATATTGAATTTACAGGCATCTACATCCTCTGTTTGCCCCTAGCCTTGAAATCCTTTTTGGTGTGAAACTACCTGTAATTTCTACTATATGGAGATACTACCTTGTAATATTACTTCTTCTCCTTTCTGAGTGAAGCTTTGTCTTAAGAAGGATGTTCAAATAGAAAAAAGAATCAAAAAGAATCAAAGTGATAAATACTGCAGTAGCTGTATTTATTTTACTAACCACTGTCATAAATAGTAAGTTCACATTTGAAATGACCTCTTTCAAGTGGGGTAGCTCTGTATAAATCGTTTGACTTCTCATTCAACTCTGTAATTGACTAAAGTAAAAACTAACACAAATCTGTAAGAAGACATCAGAAGTAGGATCAGAACCCAGGACTGAAGTTTCTACCACTGATTTGTAAGAACACTTCCTTTGTTCAAGTAAAAAATTTCTCATTACATGCAACCAAAATTATCTGTGTAAATTTTCAAGTAATTAGAACTGGCATACCCACATATTCTGATTACAAAGCAATAAAAAAGTGTTCTCAGCTTACAAGACAAAGTTTTCATAATGTAATTACACTTCTTATTACAATGTACAGTAGTGACAATTTTGACACCGTGTTTTCTACCTATTAGATTAAAGAGCATTAATCTGCTGTTCTTCACAGATATCCTACATGACAACAGGAAACAATTAATTTGTCACTAAATGTGACTACCAAATTTTGCTTTTTCTTGTTTTCCAATTTAACTGGCGAAACATTAAGGTAAAAATTGTGTCAGGACACATTCCAGAATGAGAGGGTAGCCTCTAAATTATACACAACATACGATCTGCTAGTGAGTAAAAGGGAAGTTTAAACTTCCAATTGGTAAATGCCATGATTGCTACTGAGATTTGCAGGACAAAAACAGGTGCATGTACATGTACTCTGTCAGCATCTGCAGTATCCTATGATGCATCTTACAGATGCATTATCTATAATCTCTGCAGTTTTGCAAGCTACAATATAATGCACAGTTAGGACTGTACGAAACAAATTATACATAATTCTGAGTTTGCATCTAATATTTACAGCGGTCTTACAAACCCTACTGTTTGTAGAAACTGAAATTTTTGCAGTGAGAATAATGCTGTAAAAGAAAGCAGCAAATGCTGTTTGCCTTCCATAGCTACTCTGTTTTTCTCCATACTGTTCAGTTGTGTCTTGGTAGCATCAACAACAGATGATTCAATTAGCCTCTCATCCTGCTTGGGAATAAAATGTTCTGGTTTCTTTGAGTTTGTAACTACTTTGACAGAGTAGAAATCTCTTCTGTTCTCATAGCATCAGACAGTAAGCTAAGTTCATTGCACAGTGTCTCATACCTGAAAGCCATCCGGATCTGTGCAACATTTGTCTTTCGAATGTCATTTCCCTCAGGTCCTTCTTTACAATAGTTCAACCCTAAGAATTTCTGTTTTTCCTGTGAACATGATTAAACATAAAGGAAGAAAAATCAGTTCAACTGTTGTGATTTATTGCATAACTGAATATATAGTTGAACAATTCCACTACAAGTGGAAGAAGCAACTTTAACCAGCTGGCCGTTGAGCTTTACATCAGGGTCTTAACCACTTCTGGAGATTTTAAAGTCAACATTTATACATATAATTTACTGTCAGCAGCACATTTAGTTTGGCTTGCTAAAACCCTTTGTACTAGTGTTTAGTCTTCACTACTATATCTTTCAAGTGAGAAGTCAAAAAAGAGAGGCTTAGGTTTCTTTTGTTAAAAGTTTGCACAAGAGGAAGATCAGTAGTTGTCACTAGAGAATACTGGAAGACACAACAGAATATACTTGCAAAGCCCCTTCACATGCTTGTTCCTTGAAAGGAGTGTCTGAAAGGGATGCAAAAGAGAGGATGTTCCAAACTAAGTCTTAAAGAGTATGCCATGGATTTATAGAATTTTAAAGCAAGAAGGGGATTTAACGTAATGTGACTGCCTGTCTGAAACAGAACATTTCATGTAATACTCACTACTAGCTAAAAACAAGTCTTGCTTAATGACAGGCAGTTTACTTTTACTTATTGCAAGACATGTATAAAATTATTTGCAGAGGGATACTGGATTAAAGGATTAAAGTTTTGGGAGTAGAGCGAGACCTGAGTATAAACAGGTACCTAGTCTCTGCACATTGGGGGGGATTCCAAAACAAAGCTAATGAGGAAAAATACAACTTTAATACTTTTTAAATGTGAGACTACATAGATATTTTGCAAATATTTCAGTAAAAGAGGATAGGGATCTATTACAAGTACATCACATAAAGACCTGCTATTTAATTTTCAGACTACTGGCTTCTCACTTCCTACTCACCCTAATATTCACAAAAGAGCCACAATTACCTTATTTGACAATCCACTCTGTAACACACTGTTTCTTGCTATTTCACACAAGTCACAGGTACTTAGTTTCCACACCTGGGCTGCAATAGCATATTCCTCCATGAGAGCCTCCTGTATCACCAAAATATGTTTAGTATCAAATGATAAATAATGTAAATAAAATGTAAATGCGGATATACAGTCATTACTAATTAAGGAATTTATACATGCTGTTTAGATAGCTGTGAAAACTTACAGGTTTAATACATTAACATCACAACTATTAACAAAGAGGATTGTTTATTTAAAATTTTCCAAGGGTGATTGTTAAATAATAAGCACTGGGTATCGAGTTATTTTAGCCTAAGAAATTGCAGCCTGTAGTCCAGATCCTCAAAGGCATTTATTAGACAATTTCAAATGAGATTCTGGGGAATATAGAAATCTTGGAGGATCTAGGCTTAAATCTTTAGTGAATATGCTACATAGACAGACAGGGCAATTTCTCACTTCTAACCTCCCCTACAACAAGGGTGTTGGGTCTGGCTCTAGTGGGCTCTCACATCTAAGGATGTCCCACATCATGTGTAATTCAGACTGTGTTGCGTTACATCCATGCAGAAAGCTCCCACCTCTCTGCCTCTTCTAGCAGAGGCATGTATATCATGGGCAAGAAGCAAGCCTGAGTGAAGCACAGCAGAGCTTGGCTCACCCTCAGAAGACTGACAGTAGAGCAACGTATGGGTCGTTGTAAGGCACAGCGTGACTCAGGTCTGCAATTGGGGCATCAAAACAACCAGTGACCAGGCATTTCCGCCCTGCCAGGCCACCCAAGGGCAAAACTCAGTCTCAGTTCACTAAGCAAAGAGCTTATGTGATCATCAGAAACTCCACATGGTGTTTTAGTAATGTACTTCCCCAGATTTATTAGTAAGGAAACTGGACTTTCCTGGCACTCTAGAGGATTGTTTATGAAGGCTCAAACCTCCCTCCAGCCTCATCCTTCATTCTATACTTCAACAGCCAACACTGGAGAGGCAAGAGTACAAAAGAAACATAATTAGGAAATTAGACATTTCCCTCTGAAACCTAATAGTGAGCAGTAGACTGAGAATGAGGAAGAATAATGGATGAAGTGACTGAAAGACATGGAACTTTATATCCTAAGCAATGGTATAAAACAGCTTTCAGGTCATTCTGGGCCTATGAGGTACACTGTTGCCAAATTTGAAGACAAGTGATTTTTGCAATTCTTACCTTGGTATAATGAAACTGCATAGGATCATCTGTAGAGAGAGAGACATGAAGTCCCTTATGTAGAAATTCCCGTAGTGGATTTTTTGAGTACTCCAGGAACAGGCTGTTGTTACTAAGTGGAGACATGGCAATGGGTATTTGTGCAAGATAATAAAGATACTGGAGGACAGGACTCTACAAAAACAAACAAACAAAAACAGTCAACATTGAGTGGTATTATGAGACAGTGGGAAAAAAAAATATCTCCATTAGGGAAAATGGAAACAATATTACAGTGGGAGGATGAAGATCAAAACATTTATGTTGACACTAAACTCTGAAAATACTTAAGAATCTGAATTGTAAATTGTTACCGATCTTTATAAAAATAATTTATGTTCCTCAAAAAAAAAAAAACCTGCAGCCTTGTATTTAAAAATAATTAGAAAGTGTATATGACTATTAAGGGTGCTGCATTTGACACTAACAACGTACCTGCCCCACAAGCTTGAAGTCACAAATAACACCACATATATCAAAACTGCTAAGCCATTCATTATTTTCAAAACTGCAGTCCAATTTGAGGAGCAAAAATAATTGTGATTTATTAGACATTACGTGTTGCTGTGCACATACTATAAATAATCTGTGCTCACCTCATCTTTATTTATTACTATTTCTGGCTCAAGCAACCAGTGAATCTAACAAGCACCTTCATTATTATTATCTATCTGTTCTGCCAGGTTTTCCCCCCAAGCTGAGCAGGAGAGTGAAGAGAAGAATACTCTGGGTCATGTACAGCCTTAGTACTACTATATCTGTGTCTCATTTTAGGAATCAGTGGTTCAGAGGATAATGTCAGACATGGTTTTAGACAAAACTATTCTTTATTCTTGGATACATTGTAAAATACAGAGAGAGTTTTCTAACACTAACCAGAAAATTCGATTTATGAGAAAGTTTTCAGAAGAATTACAACACTCATGTTTCATGTCTGCCACCTACTGACAGATTGTTTTAATTACAAAACAGTGGCCTGGGGATAAGGAGTTGTATGATGGGTATTTACGGATATGCCAGAAATGTCTGTCCTAGCCACAGCAGTCAAGCTGTATATACAATATTGCCATGTTATACTGCTATGTTAAATTTCATGATCAAATGATCCCAATTACTCTAGATATAAATAATCAAAACCTTATGAATGTTGAAGCACAGGGATGTTAGTAAGGGAAAATGAGCTTTGTTCCTGTGCAGAAAAATACTAGAGCTTTTCTTAAATAATTCTAAGATCTAAAAACAAGGAGTAGTAACAACCTAAAGTAGTTTTTTTCCACTATAACTTAAGTTCTGCTTAGAGTAACCAGAAGTAGGCGTCACCAAGCCCTTGACATATAAGAACAATTCTTTCAGATCTTTCCTATAAAGACAGAGCTTTAAAATATTCATGTGGTAAAATATCTATTTTTATAGCTTAAACAAGAAGTAGGAAGCTCTGCTGAGCTTATTCTCTTATGATCAAAGTGAAGAGTAACTTATGCCATGCTAAGAATATTAATTTGGGACTGTCCAGATAAGTTAACTTGGTGACTGCTATTTGAACCAGTGACTGAAGTCTAAGCAGATAGTGATTAATTTAGATGAGCAAGCAAGCAATACCTTCTTCAAGAGCAATCCATGAGAAATGTTGTCTGCTGTCAGAAAGGCTGATACAAGATGCGTGATAGACCCAGCTTCTCCACAGTGAGGTCGAAACAGAAAAGTACACATGCCTCTTTCCCTGAGGAGATTAAAACCAAGTTCCACTAACAAGAAATGCATTATTATCTATCTGTTATGTATATAATTATCATTAATGTGGTGTTTTAAATAAAATCTTAATATATGCATTCTCATACAGCTTGGCACGACATCCCATCAGGCCAACACATCAGCCTATTTTGCTGCTGTCAAATAGGGAAGGTCCCTCTATTCAAGTCTCTTCCACGACCTGATGTATGTGTGTTCCTTCTCTCCTTCCCCAGTTACATCTCATGTAGCAATTCCTTAACTACTGGGTGAACAGTTGGTCTGGGAATTTTAGTTACTATGCTAGACTTCACACTATAATTTCTAGAACCATTTTATTTGTATCATCACTATTTAAAAATGATGCTCTGTTTTAAGTTATAATGGACCCTGTTTATACAGTGCAGACACATCCCCCAAGTCTTTGGGGTGTTCAAAACAGAATTTCAATGAGGACTGCTGAAGAATATAGCAATTTGAGGATAGATGGTCAGTAATGCTTCTCTTGAAAAAGGATCTGAGGATGGAATCTAGCTTTGCTGATGTAGATAGTATTACAAAAAGTGTAAAACAGTCTTGCAATGGACTGGCTGTGATGTCTCAAATACTTACTGGGTTCAGGGGGGTGAACAGTTTTACTGACTTGTTGATGAATTGTTTCATTGTCTCACCTAGCTATAAAGATGGTTTTATGATTACCTAGGGAGATTTTCAAATGGTAGCTGAAATGATCTTGAGGTTAAAAAGAAATGCGGAAGTTCTGACAGAATCTCTGTTTTTGAAAAGACAAAAAGTGTACACTACAGAGGATGCAGAGGAAGTCAGGAGGAAGGGATGACTTTGGTTTTAGTTCTGTAATGAACAAGACACAACTCAGCAGGTATCTAACAACTAGGCCTTTCTGTTATAAGTACAAAGCAATCTAAGGTGGATGTTTTTATTATGAGATTTGATTATATAGGGCGGTAGAGAAAGAAATGCTTAAGGTAGCAGTGGGAGAGGGGAAGAGGAGAGGACAAATAACATTTTGATTGTAAACTCAAATAAGACTTGTTAAAATGACAGTTTATGTACCTCCTATAAGAAAATTCCCCAACATTTTATAAATAATAATGAACCAAATCCTTGCAGGGTAAGTGATGATACTGTAATATCAATGGATGACCTCCCTGTGCCTCAATTTGAGTCAGTTGTGTAGATCAGCTATAAATTCAGGAACATAACCTCAAGTTGAATTTCAGGCTTAACTGAGCCAGTGACAAAATTTGCTTTCACAGTCATGATTTCATATTCAGAATCATACATCCCTGCATTACTTGCCTAGGCGTTGGTATCAAAAGTGATAAAACTGAATGAATCTGTAAGGACGTTTAAGTTAATTAGCCAGATGTGTGGTTTATAATTATGGCTTCCTCTGTTTTCAGTAACAGCAGCAGCCCTTAAACTAGCATTTCACAACTTTGTGTCTCTAAAATCACCAGGAGATAACAAGCTACCAACAAGTATGTTAGGTTTGGAAATCCACTGTGAATCTGAGCAAAGGCCAACAAGTCAGTTTTGTGGGGTTTCTTTTATTTCTTTCTTTTTTGTTTTAAGTATATTCAGATTTAAAGAATTTATACACCAATGTCAAATGAAGATATTAACCTGATGCCTTTACAATTTCTGAGTATTTCATTTAAGTTAAGTCTACAGTTAACATTTTCAGAATAAATCATGTACTCCTCTTGGACTCTTTAAAATTGTTTGAGATAAGCTTTGCTACCAAAGATGTATGATTTAGACACAGACTTCAATCGAGACCAAGATTCTAACTGTTTTTGTTCTTTTCAGAAACTCGTAAGAGAGCAAATGACTACTTACTTCCTAAGGTTGTTCAGCAACATGATGTTGACATACATGTAATACAAATAATAGCTATATGGGGGATTCTTCTCACTGGTCCAGAGATCAGGGTTAAGGCTTTTGTCAGAAAACATATGGCCACTATGTTTGGATTCATCATCAACACTATCAAAGCCAGTCACCTGTAGGAGATGAGATTCACAGGAATTAGTGCTTTCAAGAAGTAAACTTTGATGTTACTTACTCTTGTTTCAGGACTTGTTTGCACAAAGCATCTAGTTTCCCTCCTTATGCGAGCAGTTATGCTGTTCTGCCCTTCTACCACACCATGCAGACAACAGCAATAGCATATTTTCTTTGAAATGTTACCCAAACAGCAACGCTCATTCCAGAAACTAGTTCTACTGTGATGCAGGGTTTGCAGAAGCACAAATAAAGAACAAGCATGAACATGGCACATTCCTCCTGTTAAGCAGGAAGATGAGTCCTGCCACTGATGCTACAGTGTTCAGAAGTGCTCCATCTTAACAAGGCACAACAGTATGAGTCGAGGGGAAAAGAAAAAAAAATCTCATAGATACAGATTATAACCCTTCGAACTCATCTGCTTTGTTATTTGAAGAGCAGCTGTAGGCCAGAAGCTCCCAGGAAAGCTTGAGTTCTGATCTGAGATACATTCACAGATGTCTCTCTTAATGAGGTCAACCAGATCTTTCCTGAGCCCCATCAGGATCTACACATTGTTTCCCTTCAGGCGCCTCTGAGACTGACCTCCAAAAAGGAGGTAAGCTCCTTCATGTACCAGATTAGTAGGTTCCCTCTGCACAAGAGCATGTGAACATTTTTTGGTCCTTCATTATAGAGAGGACTACTGGTAGTACAAATAAATAGCTGTTGAGCTGTTTTAAAACAGAAATAAGTATTCTACATAGGAGAAAGGTTCTTTTAGTGTCTGGCAACAGCTGTGTTGAATAGGAGAGGCTCCATTTCATGTAAGACAGAATATCCGAGCATACTTACATATTTGAGGAAAAGGTGCAGTTCTTTGTGGTCTTTGGGATTGATTGTTGCTTCAAACAAAGGTACAAAAATGTTCTCTAACATCTTCCCAAAACTAGGCAGAATATTTTTTGTCCTAAATATATCACTGAAGGGGAAAAAATACACAAAGTTGTGACTATTCTTTAATCATCTTCTGTTTTTCATCAGTTTTCACATTTCCTTTCATTTCTGTTTATATTCTAAGGCTTCAGTTTTACCAGGATTGAGAAATCCAAAGTTTAATGTCAGGGCAGGGATTGCTTCTGTGCTTTGTTTCCTGCACTGCCTGGCATTCTGCTTCATCCAGACTCTGCAGAAGTTCCTGAGTGCTCCAAAAATAGTGCAAGTAAGCAGTGGTAAATGTCGTCTCAAGAACAATGACCCTTTCCTTTACAGCAATACAAGTACTAAAAGGAGAGATAAGGAATCACCCCTCATGACAGTCTGTTCTCTAGTTTTAACTACTCTAAATGAAAGTAAAATGTTATGGTTTAGTGAGGCTTTCACAAGAGAGGCAGTACTTCAGTGAGTCATTAAATGCATGACTTAATGGAAGCGCTGGTGAGAGGTCTGGAGAACAAGTGCTACAAGGAGCGGCTGAGGGAGCTGGGCTTTTTCAGCTGGAGAAAAGAAGGCTCAGGGGTGACCTTATCACTCTCTACAGGTACCTTAAAGAGGCTGTAGCGAGGTGGGGGTTGGTCTGTTCTCCCACGTGCCTGGTGACAGGACGAGGGGGAATGGGCTAAAGATTGCGCCAGGGCAGGTTTAGGTTGGATGTTAGGAAGAACTTCTTTACTGAAAGGGTTGTGAGGCATTGGGATGGGCTGCCCAGGGAAGTGGTGGAGTCACCACCATCCCTGGAGGTCTTTTAAAGACGTTTAGATGTAGAGCTTAGGGATATGGTTTAGTGGAGGACTTGTTAGTGTTAGGTCAGAGGTTGGACTTGGTGACCTTGGAGGATCAACCTAGATGATTCTGTGATTCTGTGACAGGAGAGAACTTTCTCCTTAGTGAGATATACACTCTGGGAGATACATGAGACTACGACAGCTCTTTCTCTACTCATATTCCAACTATGCAATTTCAAAACACAAAGCTCAGCCATTAAGGCTGGCAAACTCATCATGGGAGACTGTACTAGTTACAATACACAGTTTTAAATACACATTTAATAAAGGACCTGAAGTCCCAAAGGATGCTTAAAAACTTAGCAGTACTAATACTGATTTAAGCTTGCAAATCATAACAATGCGGGTTGCATTTCCAAGTTCACTGTCATTTAGTCACTAGTCTTGAGGAAGTTTGATGATAATGGTCTTGCAGAGCAATTTCTGCTCCCTTACGGAATTCAAGAGTTGATTTATTTTCATTACTGAATTGCATTTTACCTTGCCTGTGAATGCAACTTAATTTCATCCAGTTGTGATTTTTGGTTTTAGTATCTTCAGGCTTTAAAGTATTTCACAGTTGTTTTGAATAGCTTCATAAGAGTACATTTAAACCCCATCTTCTCCTCCACCCCCAGACTGTCAGGAGATTTGCAGCAATGGTCAAGAACAAATTTCCCAGGCTGTTGCTCATAAATAGAGCTACAGAACAGCTCATAAGCCATTTAAAAAAAATATATCAGAAATTAAAACAAATTCATTAGGATGATTTCAAACTCTTAGGATTACCAAGAACTCATGATTACTTACTAGATCCTGGGAACCTGAATTATCCAGCGCATATTTGGGGAATAAACTTTATGTTTAATGAACCATTTTGCCAAGTTCAGCCATTCATCAGGAGACCGTCCATAAATGGATAATCGGGGTTCCGTATACTGGTATTTACTTTCTTCTAGTTCACGGGCTACTTCCTATTGAACAATAAATAGATTTGCTTTAGTATGGACACTGAAGATCATTAACAGCTAGTAGTATATTCATCACTGTATTTCCCTCAGGCATAGCTTTGTACTGTTACTCCTTAAAGGGAATTGCTTGTCTGTTAATTCATTGTTTGTTTTGTTGTTGTTTGTTTTTTTTTTACTTTATTTTAGGTATTTAAATATTCTACCAGAATGCCATTTGAGTGTAACTAACTATAACACCTAGATTTAGAGGACAAAATTTTTGTGCAACTATTCCGAATATTTTTGCAAGACATACATGTATGTCCAGAACTGGTAAATCAGAACAGTAATACTTTATACCATCATAAATGACTGCGTAAAATAAGCAGAGCATTAATGAATCTGACCTAGAACTCATGGTAGTAAGTAATTTTAAGGCTATTAATTTTAGCTAAGTACTTGTATATATCTAAAAATCATTGATATTTAGTTCATGAATACAACTAATTCTTCTGCTGTAAGAAGCAAATCTGAAGCCTGTGCATAGTGTGTGCAGATACAGATTTTTGTAGAGGTGCTTTCTTATGTCTTCCCTTCCCTAGCAACTAGCACCAGCCAACTACATCCTAACAAAATATTAAGCCAGTGATTTGAGTTTTGGCAGCTCCCCATTAGTTTGAAACTGCACACAACCCTGCTTTGAACTTATACACAGTTTAGAGCTCAAACAATTGTTCAGGAAGCAGCAGTGGCCAACTTAGCAGAGGCCTTTCTGATAAATTGGTAGAGCAAGCTTAATACTTGAGAATCACTTAACCACAGTGCTAACTCTAGATACAGTTATCACATATCTTTTACTAACCATTATTTCTCTACAGCTGGAAAAAACACAAAAATTATTTACCTTGACCATGCGAGCAAAATATTCACCTCCAATGTAGTTCTCAGTTTTCAAATACAAGTCCCTCAGCTCACTGGCACCAACTGGATTGTACTTAGAATTGAATTTGTCAAATCTATGAAATGTTTGACGACCCTATAGAAGGAAAAAAAAACAAAAAAAAAAACAACACACAAATAATCTTGGTTTTAAGTACACAAATTGTTTATAAATAAAACTGCCTAGAAACGAAATGCACAGAAAAGAACTGTACTTAGTTCAAACGTGAAGTTATGCATGAGTTTAAATTCTGATTTAATGTTATGAAAAAAATGCAGAAAACAGAATTTCACACTTAGTAAACATAGTTTTTTCTCTCTTATGTTGGTATCTTACTTACTGCATGGACATCTAAAGAGTCTACAGTGAGGTCATAAGGGTCCATGTGAAGGCTTTCAAAGACTTGCTTTAAGGTCATCTTCTTGCCTTTTTTCTCTGCAACAATCCTGTCTGGCTCTGTTTGATATGTATGCTTTATAAACCTCAGTAAGTGTTTCTGGTTCATGCAAGCAGCAGCATGGATATGAGTATCAACCTGAAATCAAAATAAGGTCATTCATGCTTGTTATATTTATATATAAACTTACTTTGTTAATTGATGTATGTCAGTGACAACAATGACTAAAGCCTTCTAAAATATTCCTTAAGCAATGAATGGATTAGTGCCTCAGCAAGTCAAAATGTTTCAGAACCCTGACAGTTTGGTTTGGGGAGGATTATTCAATCATCAGAGCTATCAATAAAATAAAGTAACCATCAGTTAATAGTTCACTTTTTATATAAGAAATATTTCAACAAGATACATTACAAATGCCAATCACAGAATTTGGATTCAGAAAAAAATACGAGGCTTCCTTAAAGAATGTTCTGATCCTTTAGTATCCTTTAACAGATTTCATCCATGAATCAATGATGTTGTTCTAGGTACAAACCATAGTTTATAACCATCTTCTCTGACTGAAAGGACCTGGAATTCTCAGCCACTTCCAAAAGCATAAGTCATTTTTGTTTTTCAACCACATGAAACATTTCAGGTCCCATGCATATGAGAGATTTTTGTCACTTTTTTCAAGCTTAATCACAATACAGCAACTCATAATACTGACAGGTCTTTCAGTTTCTTCAGAACTGTTCACACACTGAGGGAAGTGCAAGCTTCACAGAAGGACTGAGAGCAGTCCTCCATTTTTTTCTGGAGTGCCTATTTAAAAAAAAAAAAAAAAAAAAGACAAGAACAAACCAGCTTCCACTGATATTTTTTCTTTGCACTGGTATTTGAGCAGCCTGTATTAGATAGATCACAATCCAAAGAAACAACTGGTGAGGTCTGGGAGCTTGTTGGTTTAAGTTTTCCATTTCAAGTATGTGTAATTTCTGCCTCCAGCAGGTATGTGCAATGAATAACACAGTCCCCTTGCAGCCAAGGGTTCAGTATTTTTAACTACACAGATAAAGAATAGAAGAAATAAAATCAGGTATATTCCCCAACTTCTGCTTTTATGAAAAGGCAGGTAATGCTGATAACTTCATGAGGACTAAGTACCTGAAAGGAAGGAATAGGCTTCAGCAGGGATAATGGGGAATTTAAAAGCACAGAAGTATCTTGTGTGTGTGAAGCAGCACCTATAGGTACATATGCTGTGAAATTCCTTGAGTAATTCATCCTGACTGAACAACAGAATAGCCTAAATGCAAAATAGCCTAGCCAAAATAATGAAATGCCTCTAGCAACAAATTACTATCAATTTAAAAGCAAAACCAACAAAACACACACAAATAACCCATAAGACACTGTCCTGATTAGCTTTCACAGTTGACAAAAAGATAAGCGCAAAAGCCCTGCGAACTGTTTGACAGACTCTGAAACTGCTCTCCAATCCAGAGTGCCAGATCCTAGCAGAAGCAGTTTTAGCTCAGCAGTGCTACGGGCTGCCTGCTAAGCTTCATGTTAGCCTCCAGCCCAGGAACTAGCTGGACACGGAGGGCTGCAACAGCAAGGATATGTGGTAGAAACAGTCCCAGCTTTCACTGTTTCTAACACGTGCTTTGTGTACCAGCTACATACACATAACACTTTATGGTAAAATGTTACTTACTGTGATTCCAAACCATCTCCTACCAAATATATAGGATAGAGGAACTCTGAGGTGCTTTTTTAGACTTATCACCTGAACCATCCTGTCCGTGTTATATATAATCTTGAAACATGCATTACAAACTGACTATATATTGCTTCCTACTCCTGCAGAACCCTTCTGTAAGCTGGTCTTGTAAGACCTGTCAGTTTCATGTGCTAGACACTACAGCTGAATGAAGAGAAGCAAGAACCAGTCCTGTCTCAGAGTACACAACTGCAGGAACACTACTAATGCACAGGAAGCACTACTGTGTGTAAAATAGTAAAACCAGCTCTGCTTAACATATTATTATGTTCCCCGGAGTACTTTTATCAACATTTGAACCCAAGTGCATTTTATAAATATTTACTTAAGTTAGGGATTGTTTTCTGTTTTAGAAGAACATTGTTTACTACAACCTGGTCCTGTACCAATGAAATTCTATGTACTAGCAGGTTTGGTTAACTTATATGGGAGAATTAAATAACAGTTAACAGATACATAAGCTCTAAACATTCATGAGAAAGCAATATATAAGCATACAATACTAGTTACAGGCAACCTTTACAAGTACAGTTTATTTTGTTTCAGAACGTGGTAGTTTCAGTGGTGGCTCAGCTACTGAAATTCCTGTCCCTTCAACACTTCCTCTTCCTTTAAATCAACGTGACTCAGCTACTGTTGTAAGGGAAAGCAAGGAGACATTTTGTTTATTTTGTTTGCTTGTATGCAAGGATCAGATGACAGAACAGTAACTGCGTTGTTTTTTTTAAGTCCTGCTTCTCTTTGAGAAGTAATTTTCTCAAGTGTGCCTCTGCAACTTGCAAGTTCCTGTCAAATCCTCACCAGTCCCCATACCCGTATCACACACAGCTCTAGAGCTAAGCTAACCACATCCGGCTTATTCCCTGAGAACCAAGACCTGCCTTCTTTTCTTTCTCTCCCTCCCTTTCTCGAAATATATTTATTGCCCGAGAGTGAGAGTTTCTACCAGAGAATGCTTTTATCAGAGAAGATGCAGTACTTTGGCTACTTTAACTATCCAGTACATTCTAACGTTTACACATCCAGGAACTTTATATCAACAAAAATTTAATGGAGTAACACACAGCTTTTTCTTCGTTCTGCATTTTAGGAGCTACTTAATTTTTTTGAAAGGTTTTAATGACTTGAGCGTTGACCTTGCCTAGCATGTAATATATTAGTCTGTATGCTATTGTGCATTTTCACAATTCAGGGTGCAATCCCATCCAAATGAAGCAGCTAGTCATAGAACCTTTAGCCATAGCTTAAATATATATAGCTTATATGGTCTGCTCTGGTTAGGAATTTTTTAAAACTTGTATTTGAAACATTATCATGTTAGGGAATTGTTGCCAAACTCATTGTTATTTACTATGCAAGGCAACTACTAAAAAAAATGGAACCTATTCACTTTAAATAAGAGTGACAAATGGCCCCCTTGCCTTCTCCTTCACCCTAAAAACAAAACTGGTCCCATTCTTAAGCTGGTACTATCCTATTCTTCATACATTAACTAAGCTAAGTCTTTTCTGGGACATGAGTAACAATCCCCTAGCACAAGGTTTATTTGCTTCTACTTGCGTGCATTCTACCTGCATGTCCAGATTTGTTACACTGCCACTCCATCCCAATTTTCCCTTAGTGAAAAAATAAAAAACACTCAGCTGCACACCCTTAGCCAAGCTCTCTGACTGCAGTTCTTTTTCTCCTCTCCCTCAAGAGGAAGCATTTTATGCAAGGTCACATTAACCTTCAATGAAAAGAAGAAAAAAAATGACTGCCAGACGCCTATCTTGGAACACATATGCCTTGTGTGAACTTTTTTTTTTAACCAAATGAAGATAATGGTTAACCCAAAGCTTTCCTTACTTCTTTTAACTTCATCGTCCATTCAAGCAGTGGCAGACATCAGTTTTCTTTCATCAATGGATGGTCGAATTCCCTTCCCTCGGCAATTCTCCAAGTAATGGAGCCATCCTGTCTTCCTCTGCACCTTCTCATTTCAGACCAGCCCTTTCCTTGTTGACCTGAGCACCCATGCCATTCTGTCTGCACACTTCGCGAATGAAACATTGGTACTTCCCAGTCAAGATGGTTACATCTGTGTACAGCTGGCAGTGTGGAGTTCCCTTTGCCCTCCAACCACACCTCGGAGACACCCCCTTCCCTAAGCTGCTCTGCCTCCCTCCTCTTCCTGCATTGCTTCCCTTTGCTCCCACTCTCTCAAACCTCCACAAAACATCAAGTCGCATTAATTTCATGGATAGATTTCAGTGCATAGATTAACAACATCACAACTGTAAACTACCTGGTGTTCTGCATATGTGCACTTCAACTTGTACATGCTTCTGCCCCAATAACTATGAGCTTCGTGGACTTCCCAGGGAATTCCCTGCAGCCTCAACACCCGATTGACAGGATATCATTCCATGTTGCACTGACAGATTCCCTGCTCACCAATATATTTACACTGCATTAGCTTTTCAAAGAGGAAGCAATAACCTTCTTCATTAAGCTTAATTCTTTACTTGTAGTTCTGTAATAGACAATGAAAGGCAGAAGACACAAAATTTTCTGCTCTAGGGCAACTTGTCATATCCTCAGGTCTGGTTGACTGACACACTGAAATAATGGCTGAAAAGAGCAAGCATATGGAAGGAGAACTAGGCCATCTATTTTTCATCTTTAGAAGACTATATCAAAGCTATTTGCAGTGAAGGACACCTATCAATGCAGTACATAGATACACTTCATAAAGGCAGCAAATAAATATTAGGTAATCAAATGTTTTCCTTTTTTTTTCTTTTAAAGGTAAAGGCAAACAACCTCTCCCCTAAAAAGAACAATACAGACAAACCAAAGTTCCTATTAAGAGAAACCACTCCAATACCAAAAAAGCACAGTAAATTCCTCCTGCAATTAGCAACATCTTAATAAAGTAAAAGAACATTCAACATACTTCCTTTACATTGAAGGCATATTCCAGCTGAAAGGCTGAACCACCAGCCCTCAAATATCTGAGGCTGTTGGACAAATGGTCTGTTTGAAGCCCAGCTCAAAAACCTCGCATCCTTGCTTATGAAAACAAGATACCCTAGTACACAAAGGCTAGAACTCAGCCGTGTGCTGTGGAGCTAAACTTGCTACTATATTTCATCCCTGATGCAGCCAAACAGGAGTTATGTAGCAGTCACTGTGACTGCATTTTGCTATGCATTGGCTGGAGAACGTGGGAGAGCCTTGCTAATGGCAGACTCAGAAGTCTTGTGTAAAGTTAGCCTTCTCCTACACAGACAGCTGTCCACCTCCTGTGGTGAGCCAAGTGGAGTCAGTCACACTGTCTTACCACCTTTGGACTCTCATCTGTGTAGTGAAATGTTTGTGTCATTATTATAGGGTTATTTTCCAATTCCAGCTTGATCAGTGCAAAACATCTCCCTGTTTGCATTCTGGTCAAGTCCAATACCTCAGATATATACATACACTTCCCTTACTTAATGGAAATCTTATCTTGGGATTTATTATATTGATAAGCTCTCTGGATAACTCCCACTAAACCAGGAAAAGAAAAGGGCAGGGAATAGAACAATAAACTCCAATTGTCATGTCAGTAAATAATGCTGACGAGCTTTCTCCTGTTCCTTTCTAAATACAGTGATATGTGCCATTGACAGACCTTGCTACTATATTCATGATTGCTTTAATTTTGTTATTTTCCATCAGTTACATTAGCAAACAGATTGTACCAGTATTTCCATACTAGTGTCTGATAGATGTAATCAACAACTTGAGTAACAACTCTGTCAGGAGGTGAATCTTATTTCTTGCAAACGGGCAGTTTGTATTGTTAAGCACTGACTAAAAGAGAGACATCCTGAAAATATAGGCCCTAGTAGCGCCTGTTTCCTATTATAAATTTCACTGTTGATGCTGTTATTATTAAAGAAGCACTTCTGGTGAGTTATGGATCCAAACATCACTTAGACTAGCACGATAAAACGATTATTTGTGGGCTTACAGTAACTCTGTCTACAATGCAGTTTACTTGCCACAGAGAGTGCTTTATAAAAATATCCATAAGGGTTTAAGCAAGATTAACTCTGTGCTGCAAGATTTTTTTAAGCAGTATCTAGTAGTAGGACAAGTCTCTGACAGAGAAGAGCAAGCTTGTTCCTTCTCTCTTGAATTTGAGTGTTGACTGATGCATATTTTGTGCTTCTGAACAACATTAATTCATTTGTAGACTGGCTTATTTACTAGTAGATAATTAGAAAATAATTACATGCTCAGAGACATTGAACAGTTGCTTTTAAAAGTTGAACTGAGCAAGTAAAGCTTCTCTCTACTCAGACTGATTGCCAAGGGATTTATCTGATCCACACCTGTCCATTGCATCTCTCAGTCACCATATGTTTTATTATTAACACCTCTATCAGCTAGGCAAGTGTTTTATCTGAATGTAGCATGGAGTAATTATCTTGGCTAGGGTTATGCAAGATAACTGCCAACAAGTTCAGATTTGAATCTTGGCCACTTGAGTGAATTAGCTAACAGATCCTCCCATCCACACTCATAACAGATAAAAATGTGAAATTCATTAGAACTTATCTAACAGTCCATCTGCTTCTGGACATGTGAGAGCCAGAGATACATTCATCAAACACTTTTGCTTAGCAGATTTTGTGCTTGACAGTTTATTACCACAACAGTAGCAAACATTCAGCAGCCAGCACATTGGACACTATAGAGAAAAGCCTAACTGACTTTTTGATGTACTAGCAAACCAAAACATAACAAGAAGGATCAGATTGTTGATCTAAATTTCAAAGTTATAAAGTAAGGACTACCTCTTTCAACTGTGTACGGAAACAATGCAAAATGGACCTGAAACGGTTAAAAACACCAGCAATGATTACTGCTTTGTGAAGAAATCTCACTTATGAAACTGAAGCATTTTCTCTCCAGTAACATCCTTTAAAATTGAAGAAAGGGAAGCGAACTAAGCAACATAACACTGTTGATTCCATGCTTTTAAAAGAATGCAGCTCCCTTGAGTATGTGGTAGGAAATGAAACAAGCTCCTATGATTCCCCTAACCTGTCTCCTAATTAAATCCCAGTGCATATCAGATGCAGCTAAGAATATAACTCTAATAAGTATGGTGTTGTTTTTCTTTTTGTAATATTGTGCAGGCTTTAATTTTTTAAAACCAGATACCGATGGCAGTATGAAACATGAGTTCAGTTTCCATAGAACTTTTGACATGCATTTAAACATATGCAATTTCAATTTGAAGTGAATTTTTTTACCCGGAATATATACAGCTGTTCATACTGCAGTTTATTATGACTTATCTACACAAAAGCAGGAAAATGCAGTTGAGCTATCTTTCAAGCGAATTAACTAAACTCAATTAAGCCTCCACATGGATGCTTTTATTCATAATCCAAGTGAGCTTAATTTGATTGACTGTTTCACTCCTTTAAAGCAATCTACATACAGTTAAACCCCTTTGATTCTGAAAAAGTAAATAGAGGAGTTTAGCATAATCCCCTTAACACACTTGCATTCAGGTTAATGTTCCTGAGTGTTAACATGTAGAAAAAAATAATATTCTGAAAATAACATAATTCAGTTGAATAGTATTCACACACAACTTCATGCATATCATCTACATCTCACACCAAAAAAAAGCAAAATTGTTGGAACTCCTGCTGAAAATAATGTCATGCCTTTAATCCTTCCCACACTTACCTTTCTCACATTATAGAAGTCTCGATGGGGATTGCTCTTTAGTTCTTTAAATTCAGACATTTCATTTAACATCTCATGCAAGCTAAATTTGGATTCTAAAAAGTTAAGCCGACGATGACAGTATGTCTTTCTGTAAAAGAAAACACACACAAAAAATTACCTGTAACTTAGAACTGTTTGTATTGCAAGTTCAGAAAGACCTTCAAAGTTTTCACAGTAAAAAAAGATATTTTTTAAAATGAAATAAAGGGCAAATCCGTACTTTGTTTCCTAGAGGTTAACACATACATTAGTCAATATCCAGTATTATTTCAGACCAAAGTTACTTGTGAAACCTCTAACGAAACAGAACTATACGTAACCATACTGTTAGGTGCTTCACATTGTCCAAATATTTTATTGCTCTATCCGTGCCTAAACCAAGTTCTTCTAGTAACAATATGATCAGAGAAAACAAAAACTTAAAATGAAATGTGATATCAATTGCTACTATTCTGGAATTGAAAAATCCCATAGAGCAGATCACCTTATATATAACAGAAACAACCTATAATCAAAACTTTACTATGAAAATAAAGACTTTTTCCCCCTGTGCTTTCTCCCTTACTTGCTTTTCAATGTAAGCCAACATAAGGTCCAATATAATTTCATTTTTTTTTTTGCCTTAGAAACACATCTATTGTGTACATATATTAGTTTCTTTTTTTTTCCCAAAATACTTTTGTGCGCTCTTCTTAGAAAAGTCATGCTTTGTTGTTCCTGCTTGCCTACTCCTCCAGCTTCACTTTCATCTTCTGTTATGGTTTTCATTCTCTTTTTAATAAATCATATGTTTGTTCTCTTCACTGTCTGTCAATTCTTATCAAATCTACAATATTTTTATGGCACTATTAATGTAATACTCAGCCTTCTTTTTTTTCCTACTTCTTTATTGACAATCTCTCCAAGGAACACATATCCCATAACAAATTTGAAAGTCTGATTCAAATACAGTCTCATTGTATCAGACACCGCTCAAGAACAGTTTGCCTGCTGCAGGCTATCTTTGTTGGGTTATACTGTAATTCAAAAGAATGGAAGTCTGAAGAGTAGGGGTGAGATTTCACCAGTTCAAGAAGAGCAAAGGTTAAAGAACAATGGGTTCTCGATCTCCAAGAAGGCCCATGCATGACACACAAAAATGACAGATAGGAAAGCACTTGTTGCAAACAAGGAAACAATAGAGTATGAAAATCTTATGCAACAGGTTTACTGAAAAAAAATTTTCCTCTTGGTTTGTGTATAGTTATCAGGGAGAGTGAGTCAGCTTGCAAATGCTTAATCTGAAGAAGCAAAAGGAGCAAAGGATTGCTGCTGCATTCACAAAGCTGCTGAGTTTTCTAACATGCCCTACCAAGGCCCCTCCTTCTTCTGGCTTCCTTTATGTAGACTGTTAACAAATGCTGTAAAAAGAAGGGTCTTCAGTATGTTAGTTTGGTTTCAAGTTTGTCCTCATTTTCCTTTAATCTTCCCAATATCTGTCTCTCTTGGAATGTAACACACTGAATAAAACTGGAAATGCATTTACCTAGAGCATACTGTAAAGCAGCACACTCAAGCTAACTTTGATCTGGAGCAGGAACACTGACAATAATGGCAGGAGCACAGGCTTTTGCTCTTGAATAAGTGGTTAGGGAATGGGACAGATCTGTTCAGGCCAGCTACTTTGCCAGCAAAAGGCAGGCAGATTAAACTGCAGGTGTCATACACAAACTCTAGTAGGAAAACATACAACAGGTGTGACTAACTCAACACATTGTCACCACAACTTGATCTCAAAGTCAGGAGGACTAGGAGTGCAGTGCTGGCAGGCAGGGCAAATAGTTTGGAAGAACAGTCCAGGTTCCTGCTTTGTTCCATCCTGGGATGGATTCTTTTCCTTTCCTGGTGTTGAAGCTATAGGACACTGATGTTTCCAGTATTCACCTGGGAAATAAACTTTAAAAACTAGATACACACATTTTCCCTATTCACGGGGCAGGGACTTTGCAGTGTACCAGTGACAATGCTGGAGTTGTTATACTTCTGTTTTTTGGAGATTCCCTGGAAGCTTGATGGTTTTGGGAAGTGCAACCTATTTTGATTATGCACACGCAGATCAGTTTCGCAACACATGAACAGTTAATTCACATCTGGAACAAACCTGACTGAGTATTTATATTGCTGAGCTGTTATGTGTATTGTACATACACACAGTTTCTTTCCATGCAGCAAGAGCAGAGCAGACATTAAGGAATTCCAGACAACTGTTCAAAACCTCAAATTCAGCACAGGCCAAAATAAAAAAGGTGAGGTTCAAGTTTCAAGTTTCAGTTCCCATGCCTCAAGAAGTTTAGGTCAGATTTGACCTGAATGGGAATGTTTGACTGATGTCTTACTTTTCTGTTAACTGCTGCTCATTCTGCCATGGCTGATGCAAAGAAATAAAAAGAAAAGAACATACAGCTGGATTTCATTTATTAAGTCTTTTTGTGATGTGCTAATGCTAGAGAGGCAAAACAAGCATGACTGTAGAATGAATACTTAGACGAATTAAATGTCATAGAAGTGAGAAATATTAAGGTAACTAGCAGCCTGAAGGGGCAGGGAAGAAAGAAAAGGAAAAACATACGTTGGACCATCTGCAATTAGAGCAAGAACATGGCTCAAGTCAAGAGTGTAGGTCTCCAGGTCAGGATATGGCAAACTCCGAGGCTCATTGAGTTCCATCATTTCTTTGTTATCATAAACAAAGGGAATGCCACCTTTTATCTTGATAACATAATCCAAATTGTCTGGAGCATCATCAAGATTGTAAGGATCTTCATTTTCATCTGGGGGTGAATGGAAGTCTGGAAATAAATTTACATTGTGTTTAGAAGTAGCTTATACAAAAGGCCAAATAGTAGAAAGATGACTTTCTACTTCTATAATGTTTCACTTTTAGCAGATCTCAATACTTGCATTAAAATTATATTTTTGGTTACTACAGAAGATCTGTTGTTACAACGTAGTTCTATTCTGACAGACTCATATTTAATTGCAGTCACTCAAGTTATTCAAGTGCCTACATTTGTTCAAATATTTTACTCTAATTATTAGAGTTCTATGAACCAATGTATAAATAGATTTAATACTATTCTTTATTAATGTATGATGACAAGTTTCAAATTAAGTTTTGAGAAGTATTTAAATTGGGATGGTTGAAAGTACAGTTTATATTTTTAGAACAATCTAACAGTTGTAGACTTCATACCCACCTTCACTGCTTTCACCTTCTGACTCATTGTAGTAATTTTGGAAGTTTGTATTTAAGCTTCCAGTATGCAGCTGTTCTCACATTGAAACATTAACCAGAAAAGAACTGACTGCCTTACTTCTCCACCTCTGCCCCTCCCATAGTCTAGTGAGGTAGACTAGTGTACACACAATACAATTTTCTTCTCTTTCTCTCAACAATCCCTGAATACACTTCACTCATGGTAGAGCAGGAAATAATTTAAGACCCTAAGACCCTGTGCTTCCCACTCTGACCAAGGCAGCAGTGGTGTTTTTTTTTGTTTGTATGTGTGTGTGTGTGTGTTAATAAAACTCCTTTTTTTTTTTTTTTAAATTGGTTTTGCATAGAACCAAGAAATGTGGAACCCAGAGGTATTACAACACAACTGTAGTTTTCTCCTTGACTTTCTGATCATGACTGAAGTACCAGAAGCAGAGTTAGGATTTTCTCAATACAGTTTTGTCATCCCTTACAAAATTAATTAAATCACAACTATATATTTATATCAACTGAACTGCATCCTTGCACTCACTCTTATCATTCAGAATCCTTTTGCCTCTTCAGTTAAACCAAGACTAAAAAGTAACTATCCACTTTTATCCACATAAAGCATCTGAACTTACGCTATAAACTGATACCGTACTATAATATTCATAACTATCCATCTCTAACTTGTGCATATTAAGACAGTGTGATATTTTATTATTAATAAAACATCAGCTTAAAACCATAACTGTAAAAAAATCATTAACATAACAATAGCTTGGAAATATCTTCTCAGCAGCTGTACTGAAATATCTATCCTGTTGTGAATATTCAGTGTACTGCTCTCTTTGCACTCTTTCGGTATAACAAATGCTTGAAAATACTTCTCTTCATTGTCTTCCCACTAGTGACCTAGATGCTAGTGGATTTAAAATAATACAAAATGTCACTTTACGGCTGAGAATACATTGCCAACAATATGGATGTGTCTACATTGGCACATCTGAACAGACCAAAGGTTGCTCCACACAGGCTAATCCAACAACTAGTAGTGCAAACAGTTTCATGTATAAGCAAAGCTTTCAAGACACAACCCACTTAGGTGACAAATACGATTTGTGACATATATAGTTGGGAATATGTTCAACCTAATAAGCCTTGTTGAGTGATTGGAGTTTATTTACCCAGGCAGACTGCCCAACAAATGTGACTATCCAGCTTCCAGACCTGACATGGCAAGCGTGCCATGCCTGTGAAATTACTGACTCAGGGCTTGCTAACTGGTATGTCTGTATCATGCTTCAATTTACAACATAGATGAGCTCATAATCCATTTTATTTTAGTATGCCAAGATCAGGAGGAATGACTTTTCACTTGAAGCTATATCCATGTATGTTTTTCGAGGAGGAACACAAGTGCACTACGTACCATTCCATTTGCTGGAAAGAAAACAATGACTGTCTGGTACGGTTTTAGCTTTTAACAGTTTCAAACTTTTGGATCAGATATAGGCTTTATAATTTAAGCCCATCAGTGATTCTCCACCAATCACTAACAGAATAAATTATAGAGACAAAGACACTCTGAAGAGACCATAACAAAAACCCAACTCACCTTTACTAGAGTAGTATATGGTTTTAATTCTATATTTTAAAAACAACAAGGATATTCACCTGGATGAACTTCATCTTCAACCTTCCATTTTTCATGTTGCATGCTACACAAATACTGGGATGTTGTTCTTGGGAAGCGATGGTAGGCAAGACGTGAATATTTTTCTCGAATGAGAAGAGCTTTCACCAGACTCTTGGCAGCTTGCTCATAATCATCAACTGTAACCTGAAAGGAAAGACTGGATAAATACTGACAAAAATAAAACAGCAGCTTTAGTCACAAACTGAAACCATGCCCATAACAAGGAGAGTGGATTTCCAGAAATATAGATCTGTGTGACCTGAGCATAAGGATCTTACGTGAGGTCTCAGGAAGCCAGTGACAGAAGCAGAGTCCAAATGCAATGTGCAAAACATACACACACGGAATTTCTTTCTCCTACCATATATTACCTGTGTATTCAATGCCTGACTATGTTTTTATCTATTTGACCTACCAATTTATTTTTTATGGGAATAAGTATAAATAAATTGAAATGACATGAATTCAAGTGTTTTACAAATCAGTCTGTTCATAGAACCTTTTACAGTTTGTTGCAAAGAGCCATGATGCAGTATCATTTCACACTTGAAATATATTAGCTGCTTGTGGTTTGGAATTTTTTCCTGTAGATACAGGAAGGGAGAAAAATAATGTCTTACCCCTGCACAGTAGTCCCCACTAATTGAAACTCTCTGAAACTCTGGTACATCGTATGGCACCTGGACTGGCAGAAAACCACTTTGAAGAACTGGTGTTGTAGGAGACAGAACAGGATTGGCAGACGGTGCTTTCCATTCCTGAGATGGAATTTGTAATGATAAAGACTGAGATCGAATCATCTTGAAACTTTTCTTCCTAGGAATTCATGGTATAAAGCATTAAATGAGCCTCAGTATAAAACATGAAGTACACTGGAAAACAGATTACAGCAAAGAAATCACCCTCTAAAAAATTTTACAAGATGAAATATCTAATACCATGAGCAAAATGTTGGTCACAAAATATTTGTGCTTTTAGCTTTTATTCCAATGATATTTCACATGGTATATGCTACATACAATTGTACTTACCCTCCACACAAATACAATATGCAATGATTTATTTACAATCACTCTTAGATACCACTAAGATTATTTTGTATCACTTCTTACAAATTCAGTATCAGCGAGTCTCTGGGTAGAAAGAAAACATGATCACTGGTATTAATTTAGGAGAATCTGATTCTTAGAGCCAGTAAGATTAGAATTCAAAGTATCAGAGGAAAGTACGTGAATGTCATAGAAGGTAAGTTGACGTAAGTTATCATGCTATTATACAAACTTTTCATTCTTCCCCAAACATGCAGGCTTTAAAAACTCATCTACTTCTCCAACAACACTATGCACCAAAATTTCATATATAGTCATTCAATTAAACTTGTAAGAACAAGGATGAGCAAATATAGTTATTCCTTAGGTGGTGTTTGATGAGACTTGAGCAAAAGGCTAACATTGGTTATCTGAGTAATAATATAGTATGGCTGTGATATGCAAATTTATTTCTCCCCTCTGGACAGTAAATGACTATCCCCCGTGGACTTAAAAACTTGGACCCTTTCTCAGCAAAACTGTGATGGATGCGTACCTTAGGAAAAAAACAGCTGAAAAAGCATGCTGTAATTTTCAGTGAAATAATCGTAATATCTTGAGTGAAGTTTTGTAATATCTCTAAAGATTTCATTATTTTTCTTATTCAGTTTAAATGTCTTTTGAATATTCATCTAATAAGCAACCTTTGATGTCACTTCATTATGTGCTGTGGAAATACTCTTGGTTTATTTTATAAAATAGATAACACTTTAATATGTTAGTAAGAACCACTAACAAAGGAAAAGGAATACTGGAATTCTCTCTGGAAGTTGTGTATTACCTCTGTGGCATTCAACATGCAGTGGTGGTGTGAATAATATGAATAATACCCTATGACCAAATTCCATCCTCACAACTAATTGGAGCCACCTTTGAAATCAGTATGAAATTCTTGACAGGCAATGTTGGATCAACTGCAACTGAAAGCAACAGGACTTTTACTCATATAACTGTTCTCTAAGTACATTTCAATACTTTAGGATAAGGGCAAATACATGTAAGCAACATATATGTAATATCCCACTTCCCACTGTTAAACTAGTGCAAAACTTTAGGCACACAAACGCACAGTTTGATAGAAGATTTTTATGAGGCAGTTTCCCACCTTAAAAATGAAACTTGTTGTTTCAGAAGGAAAGATACCAGGTAGTTGTATGAATGATAACATCTAGTTTTCCCTTCTGCACTTTTGTTTAAGAACATGCCAACTGGAAAACCCACTTGCACAAAGCAAAAACAAAAGTCTAAGCCTGTATCATCAGTGTGTCATACCTTAATTTAATTAAACCAAATCTTCTCCCTTCTGTTCCAGAAACACGATGCCATGTGCTGCCCAACTGATGGTCTGGAGCTAATAGGGTACATGTGTTTACCTATCAGTTTCAAATGCTTTCTTGTTTGCCTGTTTTTTGATGAGTCTGTACACATCCAAGAAAGACTCTGGCATTAGACAGCTGCTGAGCTCATGTGACTCTAGCAAACAGTCTAGGCTGTCCACTAAGGTTAAGATACTGGGACAGCCTGACATCAGTGTAAGGCTATCTCCCTCACACAAGAAAACTGTAAACCAAATCGAGTTTGGCTTGATTAGATTCATGGGTAAACTGAAGGTGGACTGACTGTACACTGACCTAGGAAAATTAAATTCAAAATGTGCACTTCTGTAGCTGACAGCAGTTCAATTTTATCTCCATGAGTTAAGGAAACCTACAAATAACCTCATTATGCCCATCCCACTCTCTGTTTCTCCCTTGATGTTAAATGTCAAGACTTTGCTTTCATCTATTTTTACAGAGACTAGAAGAAATATCTTACCACTAGTCATTTTCTGAAAGTTAAAATTTTCCATTTCTCTGAATGAAACTATTCTATTCAAGAAAAAAAGAACTGTCCTCTTTTTTTCCCCTGATTCCTTCTTACATTAAAGAATGAGTGAGTTTTTTTCACTTCTATCCAGCAACGCTGTTTGTTAAAATTGCATAAGCAATATCTATGCAATTGCTGGAAGCACAGCTGCGGAGACAATCTCATCCATTCCTACCCTATCTGCATAGCACGGAAGGACAACACACAGGTGCTCTTGGTACCTGCTGTTCACCTTTCTCCTGAAGTAATAACAGGCAGAATGTTATTTGCCAAACATTTCAGTATTATCTCAAACACATTTAAAAATAATTTCCCACTAAGAAAGCAACTACCAAACAAACCTTTTGGCTGTCTCCACAGACTGTTGTTCTGCCAGTTCCTTTTGAAGTTCCCTTTCCTTGGCCTCTTTCTGCCCAATAGGGCAATCTTCAGGCACGGTGAATAGTGACAAGGCATCTTTGCTGTCTTCTTCTCGGAGGACTTTAGCAAATACTTTCTCTGCTAGGAGCCGCACATGTTCATCCACCTCCGAGATGTTCAGCTTTGGAAACTGTCTGGGCATCTCAGCTAATAAGGAAGACAGTTAAAGGTTATAAATACAAGTAGAATTAACATATGTGAGAGATCAGGGTTTGTTCTTTCTTTTGTGGTACGCCTGTTGAAATTAAGAGTTCTGAACAAAAAGCATAGAATGGTTTGAATTGATAACCTTAAAGATCATCTAATTCCACCATTCCCCCCCCCGCCACGGGCATGGACACCTCCCACCAGACCACATTGCCCAAAACCCCATCCAGCCCGGCCTTGAACACTTCCAGGGATGGGGCATCCACAGCTTCTCTTGAAACCTGTTCCAGGGCCTCACCACCCTCTGAACAAATAATTTCTTCCTTATATATAATCTAAATCTGCCCTCTTTTAGTTTAAACCCATTACCCTTTATCCTGTCAGTACACTCCCTGACAGAGTCCCTTCCCAGCTTTCCTGCAAGCCCCCTTTAAGTACTGGAAAGCTGCTCTAAAGTCTCTCCAGAGCCTTCTGTTCAGAAGTTGAATTAAGTAGAAGTCTAAACAGAGTTTAAACTACTGTGCAGTACACAAGAATATAAGACTCCACAAGCATCTTTAGTTGTTGGGGCCATGCTAACTTGCGAATTCAGAACTTCGTGTACTCATTGAGGTGTGTTTTGTTTGTTTGTTTTTTTCCCTAATAGGAACACAATTTATAATGTGCCAGTTCAGCTTGAAGTATAAAGACTACTAAAGGAAAGTTAGGAGTATACCTAAAGGCATACCATACGAGATTTTCACTGCTCCCTAGTTCTTGGCTGACTTGGAGACGTACTAAGTGTTAAAACATAAGCAGAAGATGGCCTTCCAGATTGCTTTTGAGACCATAACAAAAGGCAAGGGTATAACGTGTAATGGGAGTGTTCTTTCCTTGTCACATGGTGCTACCTTGCATCATGAAAATTCCTAAGATAGGTACGTGCAGACTTGCCAGAAGACACAACTTAATGGCATATCTGATAGACCATTGTTTGCAACGTGTGTGTTTAGCTGTATGTACGTACTTGCACCGAACAAGGAAATCACATCCACTCAGTTGCCTGCCTCCTTCTCTGCTGTGACTTGAAAGCAATTTTAGAGCCAAAAGTAAGTTAGAAAAGAATGTTGCACATTTCTACCTATTTCTTTTTTCTACCTATTTCATTTTCCTATTTCTACCCCATTCTTTCCACAAATACGTAGGTTGTGCAGCAGCTATAGAATAAAATGGCTGTATAACCAAAGTAAAAATGTAGTTAGTTAACTCAGTGGATATTTTTTGTAGGTCATATCCTGCTTTTGAGTTGCATGTGGGAAGCAGACAAGATATAGACTTTAATTTCTTCTTGGCATTTAAATATGTTTTTTCTAAAGATATGCTTAATATTTTCAATTTCTATTTAAGTAGCCTTTCATAACAAAAAAATTTCCATTTTGTGACAGCAGCAGTACTGAAAATACCATCTTTAGTGTTTTGGTTTGTTTTTTTTGTAGTTTCATTGCTTTATTTATATTTCATTTTATGCAACAAGTGGATTTTGACATATCTGGTAGCATTCTGGAGCAGAAAAAAATACAGTTCTTGCAAGCACTGTCCAGCGCTATTTATTATGTGCTTAAAGCACTTTTCAATGCATTCACAATTATGGACTTTACAACAAAGATCTAATTCTTATCATGTAAGTTAAAAATATCAATGAACATCACAACAAATGGATCCAAGCGCTGCCAATATGTTCAGCTTGTGTCCAAACCAACATTTCAAAGCCTTTCTTGGTTACAAAAATACAAATATATTTTATAAGATGGTTTTCATTTAAATAATGCGAGGTATGCTGAAATCTGCATGAGGCATGACAGTTTTTAACCACTCAAGGCATAACTTATCAGCACTCCTATTAGAGTATTTCTGAAGGCATCCTTCAAATTTCATATGTTGATATGTGATCCCTTTTGATATGTGATCCTGTTGTTTTCAGTCTAAAGGATTCTAATTAACATCCACCTGTTTTCACAGTTGCTTTGAGAACACTTTTCCTTTTATTCTAAAAGCAAATAGAGTATTAAAAGGTGACGAGAGAAATGCTGGACTATAGCATGGCAATTTAGCGATCGCCTACATTTCGTTGTATTCTTATTTTTGTAATGAATTCAGAGGACAGTGAAAAAACGTTACTGACTTTAAAGAACTTTTGATCTGACCCAATGCAGTCTTTCCACTTGCAGAGTATTTGTTTTGCAACTAGTACTGAGCCTTCATGAAAAAAAAAAGTCTAATTACATAAGAAACAAAAATACATACATGCCTAACTGAATGATTCAATGACAATGCACTAGGATGCCTTAGAAGCATCCAAACTTAGATTCAGTTTCTCACTTTCAAACCTCAATGAAGTCATGGGAGTCTTTCCACTGACCTCAACAAACGCAGTTGTCCACAGTAGTAACTGACGCACAGCTGCCAGCAACAAGGACCTTTTGGGCCACTACAGCCATGGCAAAAACATTTCTAGTTTGTAATTCAACTACAGTAAGAGTGTTAGAGATCTGAGTCAAGTGTGGAATATTTCTTCTGCTGCTGAATCAGCAAAGAAGATACCTTCAGTACTGACTGACTAGAACAGGAAAAATTGCGTGTTTGAGTGGTTATCACTGGCTGACTACTTTCTGAGTATAAATGAACATTTTCTTAAAAAATCATGATCAGAAACAAAAATGCAGCGGGAAATAAATTGCATGAGAAATCATAATTTAAGTTACTAGAGTAACGTAGGTTCACATCTGAAAGCATAGCTACAAGTACAATCAACCCACTGTGGAGAGCAGCACTTTTTGTTTGTTGTCTTCGGGTTTTCTCCTTTCTTTCTTATAAAATCAGATCTTGTTTGCTCAAGCAAACGAAAGGTTTGCCCACATCACTGCTAGCTTATGTCACCGAAAGGAGTTTAACAAACCTAAAATAGCCGAGAGACACCCCATGCAAACCACGCCACCCCAAAGCGGAGCAGGGATGAGGATCTCATACCCTGCATCCTTCCATAGGAGCGCTTGCTGTCCTCTACCCAAGGTGAGCGACCTGGAGAGCAACAGCTCCGCACCCCGATGGGATGGGATGGGATGGGATGGGATGGGATGGGATGGGATGGGATGGGATGGATGAGCCGCCATCCAAACGCTCTCCTTTCCTCAGCCTCCACCGGCAGCTCGGGTTCAGCACCTCTGTGGCAGAGAAAGCTACTTCCCTTGAGGCGTGCGGCATGAAACCGATGCGGCGGCCGTGTAAAGAGCCATTACAGCCGCCGCCGGGGCTGCCAGCCCGCCCCTCACCTCACGGCCCCTCACCTCACCTCACCGCCCCTCACCGCACCGCGCCGCGCAGGCGGGGCCCAGCCGGGCCCTGCCCGGGGCCGCTCCCGCCGCAGCAGCCCCAGGCCCGCTGCCGCCGCCGCCGCCGCCCCCCGGCCGGGACTCACCGCCTGCCCCGGGGAGAGCCATGCTGCGCCGGGGCGGCTCCGCCACCAGCCGGCGGCGAGGAGGGGACAGGCGAAGGGAGGAGCGGCTCCCGCCAGCCGCCGCCGCTTCCCTCTGCCGCATTCGCCCGCCCGCTACCGCAGCGCCGCCACAGGGGCCCCGGGGGGCGCCGCCCGCCCCCGACCGCCCTGCCCTGCCCTGCCCTGCCCTGCCCCACCCCGGGCGGCCCCTCAGCACGGAGCCGTTAACGGCCTCGCAGGGCGGGGCGGGGGCGCCGTGTCCGTGTCCGTGTCCCTACCTCTGTGAGGAGCCGCCCGCTCGGCGGCTTCGGGCTGCACCTGCGGCTCCCGGGAGGGGCCGGCTGGGGTCTGCCCGCGGGCTGCTGCCTCAGGGGGAGCCGCTGCCCCGCGTCGCGGCTGGGCGCTTCCCCACGGAGGCTCCGGGACGGCTGCGGCGCCGTCACATGGCTCGGGGCGGGCCGCCTCAGCTCAGCCCGGCCCGCCTCGCCTCGCCTCGCCTCGCCTCGCCTCCGGGCGCCCCGTGAGGGCCGCGGTCCCGAGCGCTTCCCTCAAGCCGCTGCCTCCCAAAGCGCTCGGGCGCGGAAAGCTCCGCTTCGGCAGCAGGACGCCGCGGGCCGGGGCGAAGATGCTGCTGGAGGATGAGTTGGCTGCCAGGGCATCCCTAGCAGGGGTACCTGCGGCGATGCTCGTTCCTCCGTGGAGGCACGGTTCAGGTGCCGTGTAAAGCAAGAAAATCAACTTGAAAATAAATGTACTGAGTACGGAGCCCAAGGCAAATAACTGAAGGTCAAAGCAAGCATGACTCAGCAGGAGTGAAGACCGTAGCATGTTAAATAATTTGACCCCAATGTGAGAGATTCTAGGCCCTGGAGCTGAACATTTTAGAAACATTTAAGATAAGTTTAGGTTACAACATATGGGCTCGAATCTGAAGGCATTTAAAGACAAAAGTATCTTTCCGGTGCAGAGAAGCACTGGGAATGAAGCAATTGGAGAAAAGGCCCTTAGAGTAAGATGACAAACGGGGTAAAGGTAACTCCCAGCGCATGTCAGGCATCAGGTAGCTCTGTGTTCTGCCAACTTGGTCAAGGAAGAAATGTTCCATTGATAAACTTCAGGGTCTTAAGAGATTCTTTTGCCTCACACAGCTGGTGTAAAAAAAAAAAAAAGGAAATAAAATGAAATTAGGGACTCTACAAAGTACGAGTTGCAAAGAAGACCAGCTGCTTTGAGTCTTATGCTAGTATCAACCTAGTATCAATGCAATCATATTTATCTATTGTGGGACTTGTGCAAAAAAAAATAAATAATGTTTTAAAAAAATAGCCAAGAGTTATGTCTTCAGGTATTGTATGAGTCATGGAACTGTTGATGCCAGACATTTGAAAACAAGGCAGACATTGATTTTAAAATAATGATGGTGAAAAAAAATAGACACAGTTTCTTCTCTTAGCTTGAAAAAAGGCTTATGCTGTGTGTGAATGTTTCTCCCACAGTAACTTTGAATGTCTTCATGAGCTGCTGCCAGGCTACACCCAGACCAGCCATCTGCTGCCCAGGAAACTACATACCGTAAATGTCTGTAATTCTGACTCACAGTTGTCCTGCCCACATGATACATGAGTAAAGGACACCTGTTGTTGTTGGCCATTCAGTACGCCCATTGACTGCTGGTGCATTTGTCCCGATTCCTTTCTCCTGTTTCCCTAGTCCTTCTCCCAGCAACCTGCCTGAACTTGTCCAAACTTAGCTGCTTCCCATCCCAGAGTTTTCCTGGCAGTATGGGCTCCTTAGCGAGTCTCTAATCATAATTGTGCCCTCCCTGCCTGCTGGGCTTAGATATCCCATTGCTTCTTGGATTCCTTTTCTCAGCTTGGCAAATGTGTCTTGCCTCCACGCTTGATTTCATCTCTGTTCTAAGCTACGCAAGACCTTGTGATAGTTCCCTCATGTGCTGTTGCTGGCTTTCTACCAACCACAATGAAAGAACATCAGTCTCAAAGATAACTGAGTTTCTACATTTTTTTTTTCATGGAAACAGGCTGCTCTGCACACCCCAAGTTAAGAGAACATGGTAGTGTGAGTTCACATTTTATGAAGACCAGAGAATTCACATAGAAGGGAAAACTTTAAAATGCCTTAGCAAAGAAAAAGCTTCTGTAAGCATTGAGGTACAGATACATAAGGACCAAGGACACTTGTTCTAGAAGACCATTGAACTATTTCAATTAGGTGTTTTTTTGTTTGTTTGTTTTTTAAGCGAAAGTTAGCATGGGTTGTAAGCGTAGAGACATGATAATAAATTGACAATAAAATACTTCAAAACCTCTGAATTTTTGCAGAAGCAATTACTATGACTAGTTATTTTATAAACTGTGTTCAGAACATACATTTGCTGAGTGGTTCCAGCTACTTTCATGTCCTGTCTCTGCTCTTAAAATGAACAATTCACATGTACCTTTGGAAAATGGAATTTACACTCAGCTGGCAACTGTGAAATAGCATATTTTCAAAGATAGGTGCTGTGTACACTTCCATGAGCACCTGCTATGTATAAAGGCATTACACTTTGTATCTAGACTCAGAACACCCCAGTGATGTCAGTTAACACCTTGTTAAACACTTACCATCTAACCTATAGAGGAGTCATCTACCTGTCCAATTTATGCTTGTATATAGCATGTTAAAAGTAGTGCAAGTCTCCAGTTATTTGAAATGTTCTGATTCCTAATAAAAAATGTCAATACTTTTCTGAAACCACCAGGGTTTTGGTTCACTTCTTTCAGGTAGCTGCAGTTCTTCCAGGTAAGTTTTGCACTGTGTAAAAATAAATTTCTTTTTATGTTTTTAATCTTACTACAGAAGATGAAGTTACCTCCTGCCTTTTACCAAACAACTAAAATTGATTATGTTTCTTTATATTATTCTTTAAATTTTGCATTTCTACTATGTCATCATTCTGCTTTAAGCCCTACTTCAGAGACAATTCTTTTGGTAACAGTAGTAAAGTCATGGTCCTTCCAATGTAGGTGATATTTGGACTGCTCTTTCACAGTCAGTCTGACATTGTAACAAAAAGAAATTCAGCAGAAGTTTTAAAGATTTGCTTGCATGTCAACATCTACTGAGGAATGAACGAGAAGAAAGCACTGATTAATTTTTAGAGTTAGGCAAATGTCTGTGAGATGATTGAAGCTGGCATTCATATTCATCTAAATTAGGAAATGGTCTCTCATTCTCACTTGAAATTGTTTCAGTTGTTGTAAACATACTGCTTTCATGTGAACACTGCCTTAAAAGCTAATGAATTTGAATTCTTTTTTTTTTTTTTTTTTTTTAAAGTAGATTCATATTATTGACTGTGGTGTTCATAACAGCAAAACAACTAATGGATCAAATGAAATATGTTATTCTATAATGGGCTTGAATAGTGAATTAGTGGCATCCAAGCAATGCTACACCTATTACTCATTCTTCTGATCTTTAATCAGTTCAGTTAAGGATATGCTTGGCAAACACGCATTTACCTGCTGAAGAGTAACTGATATTCCAACACCAAAGAACACAGTCAAATACAGTAATTTCCAAAAGCTGGAGGGGAAGCGTGTGCCAAGTGTGAAATGTAATTGAATCACATTATCAAATGCTGTCTTCTAGAAGGGAGAAGTGATTCAGCATTTTAAAAAAAAACAATGGAGGAAAATAGTAATGATTCAAAAAAGGGAGAAAATTATTACAATGAGTGATTGAAATAATACAAAGCCAATTGTATCTTTGTGTTATATAAAGCCAGGAAATCAGAAAGCATCATCTTTCTTATCCACTGCCTTTGAGAGGTTGTAGAAATTCGTCCAATGTATGAGTATCCAGCCCTGTATTTGAATCAGGCCCAGTTCAGGACTCTTGATACGGATGATTAGGTCTTTCTCAGTATCGAGTTAAACTGGAATTCAGAAATCTAAACATTTTGTTCCTACTCTAAATATAAGCAGCAATTTTTATATCTTTTGGAGACTGTTGGAAGCTATTCCAGAAAGTATGCTAGGGGGCTACCAAGGAGGAGAAACATGTATTAGGCCAATTTTTGATAAAACCCTATCTTGGATAGGTATGGTGTTAGGAATATACATGTATACCTACAAGATGCATGTATGAACATATAAAATGCAAAATGTTTCGAAAATGACTTGTACTCACTAAAATTGATAGTAAATTATGAATCCAATTCCTTCTTTATTTCAGTCAAATGACGTTCTCCTTCCTGAAAGGATGCCTGCAAGTATAATTGTCCTGTAGTTTATTATTATAAAATAAAATACATGTAGTATGCAAATATAAATCTGATCGTCAAAAAAAAATGAAGTGGAAATGAGGCCTATAGAAGTCACAATAGGATGTGATTGTTCAGTCACTATTTTAAAAATAAACTAGGAAAGCATCTGTATAGTCCTAATAATGTCAGTCTGAAATAACATAACAGAAGTTTTCCATGAGTTTATAAATGGAATATACTGTAACGCTTTGTTGCACAAGAAAGTTTTACGAGCAAGATGGGAAGCTTTGGTATGTTTGTATTTGTAAGCTGGAATCGTAAACTGTCATTTGGCTATTTGGAACACTTTCTTTCCAGTCAGTTGGCAAATTCTTTGCTAGCATCTACTGACTGCCTTGCTTTGTTGCAACAGCCATGTAAAAATGCCAGTTTAAAACTAGTTTGTCTTAAACTTACTTCACTTGGACTATGCAAGTATTTACCCCTGGTGGAAAACTGTCTTGCTCTGAAATTATACATAAATTATCTGAAATTCTGCGTCCCTTCTAAGAAGGAGAGCTCTCACTGTATTAGATAAACCTATATGTGGAACTGAAAGATCTTTAATCTGATTTATAAAAAGGAGGATTTTCTGAAAGTTGCATTTCACATCTGTTACATGATGTCCAAATGAAATCCTTTTTAACCACGACTCTGACGTACCATGCCATTTTACTCAGGTCTGTTTTAGGAGGAATTTTATTTGTTTAAAAGGCACATAAAATAAAACATTCAGCATGCAGCTGTCTACATGTATTAAATTAGACACGGCTAGTGAATGATAAATAATTAAACACTGAAATTACAGCTCACAATTAGGAGCTCTATGGTCTGAAACCCCCAGAATAAAGAATG